GATTCAAACAAAGGCAAAAGATCGTCGGAGAGAGATACTTCGGAAATTGCCAAAGCATGCAAAGCTTTCAATTAGTCTGGACTGTTGGACCTCGCCCTTTCAACAAGCCTTTATGGCAGTATCTGGCTATTTTATTGATTCAGAATGGGAATACCGAGAGGTTTTACTTGATTTTAAACCTCTTGAGGGTGAACATACTGGGGTAAATCTCAGTCAAGAGGTTCTTGAACTACTTCGAGAGTATGAGATTAAGGAGCGAGTATTGGCTATTACTACTGATAATGCGTCCAATAACTTAACCCTTGTTTCTTCTCTCCAGGAAACTCATCTCTCTCAAGGCCTGAGCTCTGATACCATTATTATCAGAGTACCATGCCTTGCTCACGTCATTCAGTTGAGCCTTAAGCAGCTCCTTGGTCAAATAAAAGCAAACCCTGTCAATGAGAATGTTGAATCTATTTGGTCAGAAGAGCATATGCAGAAAGCACGTCAAATAGCAAAAGAGTACAGTATAGCCAGCACCCTTCGCAAGGTTTGATGATCTAATACCCTCACTATTCTCCGAATCTCTACTAATTCTATTATGGTTTACCTAGATTCGAAACCTTGCTGTATTTATTAATGCAAGCCCTCAGCGCCGTGCGAATTTTAGGAACCTTCAGCCTGAAGGCTCTCAACTGTTTCCAATTCAAGATGTACGAACACGCTGGAATTCAACATTTCTGATGCTCCGCCGGGCAAAGCGACTTCAGTCCTATCTTAATACCTACTGTGTGGCAGATCACCATACTGATCTTCAGCTGAGTAGAGATGAGTGGCAGCAGATTGATTATTTGATCTGCATTACGCAGCCATTCTATCAATACACTACCGCTCTCTCAAAAACCAAAGGCATTACAATTCACATGGTTTTCAGTATCTATAATCGTCTGTTTGAGCATCTTGAAAGCCGCCAACGTCAGTTGTGCCACAAGAAGATCTTATGGAAACGTCAGATGCTTCAGGCACTGGAAAAAGCAAGAGATAAGCTCAAGGACTATTACTCAGCGACCGATACTCCAGGGCTTATCAACATATATACCAATGGAACTATCTTAGCGCCGCAGTATAAGCTTGAGTTCTTTCAGACCCCTGAGTGGCAAGATAAGGACTTTGCAGGTGAATATAAAGCAGCACTCGAGCAGCAAATTCTTGCCTATGAAGTTCAACTCCATGATACTTGCTCACAATCTGAAGGGCCTTCTTACCCACAGCCTGTTCAAGAGATTGAAATATTGCTTGATAGTTATAGAGCTCGACCCGCAGTACCACTCTCAGAGCTCCATCAGTATCTGAAGGGGGGTAAGTATTCTCCCAAAACACAGTTTCAATACATACCTCTCTAACTATTCATTCAATAGGTACTATACTCACTTCCCCACTTGATTTCTGGAGGGACCATGAGCAGCAGTTCCCAGTGCTTGCAGCAATTGCTCGAGACATGCTTTCTGTCCCAGCTACCGGTGCAGGTGTAGAACGCTTATTCAATTCTGCCCGCGATATCTGTCATTATCGCCGCGGCTCTCTCCATGCAACGACTATTCAGGATCTCATGCTGCTCATGTGTGCTAATCGATTTGATATTGAGGAGGAGCAACTTGCTTTTATACGAGAATATAAAACAGAGTACGAGATAGATATTCAACAGGAGGATACCACAAAGCATATTCTACAGGAGATCATAGAGATTAGTGAGGGGGAGGAGGAGGAGGAGGAGGAGAAGGAGAAGACTCCTCTACAGCATCATACAAAGCGAAAAAGAGATAATTATGAAGCTGAAGAGGATACATCAGATGAGGCAGGAGGCTCTGCGGAAGAAGAGCCTCTACTACCTAAGCAATCTAATACTCAGCGTGCTTCAGGGAGGGCCCGGATACCATCGATACGGCTACAGGGATATACTACTTAATATAATCTATAATTTCATTCACATCTCTGCTCTCACTGTATCTGATTCAATATAAAAATCACTATTGTATCACAGAATCACTTTATTATCGAAACCACAGCATTACAGCCAAGATCTCGCTTAATCTTCATATTTTATGCAACGCATGTTAGCCCTAGAAAAAGCCCTATCTTTGGGCCATTGGGCCGTTTCGGGCCGGCCCATTAATGGGCTATGGGCCGGGTTTTTGACCCAATGGCCCAATTGGGCCGACCCAAATGGGCCGGCCCATGGGCCATGTACAGGTCTAACTCCGATGTTCACAATTAGACGCTTTCCAGGACTGCAAAATAAAATTCATAGTATCTTTTTCTCAAAGGCACTTTTGTAAAAGAGGCCGTCAGACAGGTTGACCCATTTCGCTGTACAAATATCAAAATAATAGTTGCGTCGCATTTTCCATGGGCCAATATCGCCTATCTTTGGCAGGGACTCTGCGGCTTTGGTCACATAGGTGCTATTGAGATTCAAGTACGAACCCGTCTTCATCGCTGCTCTCTCTTTTGCGTCCCCCTCAAAGCGGGGTGTGGCACTGGCCTGTCGTGAGCGAGCCATGCTGGACACCAGACGGCAAAACAGAATAGCCGCTGAATCGGCTCCGAGTGTCCAAGATGCATTTGTATATCCCATGATAAAACAAGCGTTTGGTACATCCTCCAGCATGCAACCCCGCCATAAGACCTTTCTCGATATATCAATCTTTCGGCCATTCACTGATATTTCAATTTTCCCCGCAAAGACCAATCGCAGTCCGGTTGCCGTCACGACAATGTCGACGTTGTCGATGCTTTCACCACTCTGCAAGCAGATCCCTTTCTCCGTAAACCCTTGAATTTGTCCAGTTGAGACAGAGGCTTTCCCAGATCGGAGACACTCAAAGAAGTCACCATCTGGAGACAAACAGAGGCGTTGTTCCCAAGGGTTATACTTAGGGGAGAAGTGAGGGTCGACTGGGTTATTGGCTGGTAGCTTTTGTTGTGTTGCTTTCTTCAACTGTTGTCTGGCAGTCGCTGGAAAGAAGCGGCAGAATTGGAATTGAATGAACAGTGAAGTCATGAACCACCACCGCAGACAGAAATAGAGTAATTTCTCAGGTAGTAGCAGCTTGAGTATGGGTGGAGTACTGTTATCCATGGACACAATATAACCCGGGCTGCGCTGGAGCATAGTAACGTGTTTCGCCTTTTTGGCGAGGTTGGGAAGCAATGTCACCGCAGTTGCACCGGATCCGATGATTACAATGTTCTTGTCCTTGTAATCTTGGTTCTCGGGCCAGAATTGAGGGTGGATCCTTTCTCCTTTAAAGTCGCTCAGCCCTGGAATCTCGGTACTCATAGGTTGCTCATAGTCGTAGTAACCAGTACCAAAAGCGATGTGCTGACAACGGAGTGGCTGTTCATTTATTAGTTTATATTCCAGTGCATTTCGCATAACTCTCTAGATACTAACTTTCAAATGGCCATCATTCTCGATGGTCAGATTCCACTGTGCGCTCTCTTCGCTGAAGTCTGCTTTCACCACCTTGTGTAACAATCGAATGCATGAATCAAGATTTGCAAACCTGATTGCTTCCGTCAGGTACCGTTTGATACTTCCAGCGTCCGCAATAGCACGATCTTCTTTCCATGGATACCATGAAAAGCCAAAGGTGTACAAGTCAGAGTCCGATCGTATGCCAGGATACTTAAAGAAGTCCCATGTTCCACCTATCGAATTACGACCTTCCAAGATGACGAACGACAGTGATGGATTTGATTCTTGGAGACGTTGAGCAAAGTTGATACCAGAAATCCCGGCTCCGATAATTACAACGTCCACAAAGCCCATGTCGAGGGAATTTGGCAGCGTGTTAGGAGCCATATTGTTCAACTGATAAGTGAATGGCGGATTCTATGTTCAAGAAATCTTTAATGTCATGGACAGTGTCTTCGCTGGTATTTGACGATCATCATCGTTGCGCCAAGTTATTGTTATTGACCCACTCAACCGTCTAGCGTAAATAGATTAACTGCTAGCCAATAGGAGCAATGAAAATCGCACTCCGATAGATCCACATTCATGATATATTGGTTGGTGCGAATCGCACCCGAGGGTTTCTCCACCTCCGCTTAGGTAATCATTTCCACATTACGGATAGGAGTAATAGTCTGGAGATCAAGTGTTCAAGGTTTCAAGACAAGTTCCTCGGATATCTGAGCCGGAATTTACCAGCTCAAATGTAAAAATTACCAAAAATTGCATAAAACATGCCTGCCAAACAAGGCCTTAAATCTTGGCATATTTACACTGTTTATACTACTTGAGGGTAATAGGGTAACCTCTAAGACCCGCGGGCTTTCGCAAGCTAAGCCCTCACCCTCAATTTGCGGGGCGGGTAATAAAATGCCAGGCCTGTACCCTCAATTTGCGGGACGGGTATATGGGACCCTCATAGCCCGCGGGTATTCCACAGTCTAGGTGTGATTAGGTTATATATCCCCTATTTTGATTTTCTGAGATTATGCTCTATGTGTGAGGAGCTCAGGTACTTACAGAGATCAAGATACGACGTAGCGTGGCAGACAAAGGAAATAGTAGCGTTCGACGAAAGTAATAGCTTGAGGAGAAAGTAGAAGAGGAAGCTGAGACAGAAGCTAGATACAGATGTAGGCGTGGATTCCTAAGTGGATGCCATCCGCGCAAGGCATCAACAACAATGGGTTGGGAACGACCTAGTTCGTTATATTGAGAACGGATATCCCCACTACAATATCCACATAATGCAATATTAGTCGCGTATCGAATATCCGGTTCGCCCCTGGTGATGATTTGAGCGGGATGACGAAAAGTGTTAAGTCGTGCCAGGATACGGAGTACGTAATGCTAGGTGGGGATGCTAGTCCGCTGAATAAGCGGTGTGGAGAGCCTTCACACTAACTAACGTAATTCCCGCATGACCGGGCCACCCGCTTGACCGGGCCACCCCATCGAAAATCGCGTCTTCCTACCTACACACCAACTACAACTACCTACCATGCCACCAATCCGCACTGAATCCTCGCAGAAACTAGCTAGCCAGGAGGGCAAGATCCTATTAGCCCTTGATGATCTTAAAAACGGCCGCATCAAATCTATTCGTGCAGCAGCTACTCTATACGCAATACCACGTTCAACACTGCAATATCGCGCCGGCGGCCGAGTTGCACGCGTCGATAAGCGCCCAAATCGCCATAAATTAACTAAATTAGAAGAGGATTCGCTTGTTAATTGGATTATCTCTATGGATACGCGTGGAGCAGCGCCTAGGCCAGCTACTATAAGAGAGATGGCGAATATCCTACTAGCTGCACGCGGTAGCCAACCTCCGCCTACTGTTGGCAAGAATTGGCCATCAAAATTTGTTGAACGTCGCGAGGAGCTTCGAACACGATTCTCAGTACGATACGACTACCAACGTGCATTAAATGAAGACCCTAAAGCCCTACGAGCCTGGTTTGCGACCGTGCAAAGTGTGATTGATGAGCACGGGATACAAGCGGAGGATATCTACAACTTTGATGAGACAGGCTTTGCAATGGGCCTTATATCCTCGCAGAAGGTGGTAACGCGAGCTGAATACTATGGTCGGAGACGTCTCTTACAGCCAGGAAATCGTGAATGGGTTACTGCTATTGAAGCAATCTGTGCAGATGGCTACTCGCTACCGCCATGTGTGATCTTTAAGGGCAAAGTTGCTATTGCTAGTTGGTTTAATAACCTACCAAAAGATTGGCGATTTGAAGTCTCTGATAACGGCTGGACTACCGATGAGATTGGCCTACGCTGGCTACAAAAGGTGTTTATCCCATCAACAAATTTGCGTACACGTGGCCGCTTTCGGTTATTAATTCTCGACGGCCATGGTAGCCATCTTACGCCCCAATTTGATCATATTTGCGCAGAAAACGATATAATACCTCTTTGTATGCCTGCACACTCTTCACATCTACTACAACCACTAGATGTTGGCTGCTTTGCAGTAATTAAGAGGGCATATAGCCGTTTTATTAGTGATCTTGCGCGTACGGGATATAACCATATCGACAAGTGTGATTTTTTGGAAAACTACCAACATGCGCGACTAGAGGCCTTCCAAAAGCCATCTATTATTCAGAATAGCTTTGCAGCTAGTGGCTTAGTACCAGTCAATGCAGAAAGAGTGCTTTCAAAGCTTAATATCTCTCTACGAACACCTACACCACCAAGCAGCCGGCCAAGCAGCAGATCTAGCCAATTCACACCCAAAACACCTAGAACTGTTATTCAGCTACAAAAGCAAGTTTCAATGCTGAAGGATCTACTACGCCGGCGGTCAAATAGCCCTCCAAGCCCATCAAAGGATATATTAGATCGCATTATCAAGGGCCACTGTGAAGCGCTGCATAACACTGCATTACTTGCGCAGGAGAACGTGGATCTACGTACGGCGAACGAGAGGATTGTTAAGAAACGCAATCGGTCAAATAAGAAGATACCTTGTGAAGAGGGTTTGACCGTCGAAGAGGGCCTACAGCTAGTTGAACAGCTAAACCAGCCGGTAGAAGCTGATCAGGTAGTATTGCATACGCAGAACGAATTGCCTAGTCAGGCAGATCCACCACCTACCAGGGCCCCGCCTAGGTGTAGTGGGTGTAGGGAGATTGGCCACAGGATTAATACATGTAAAAATCGCTATATTTAGTTGAATTAATGGGTGTTGGTTGAGATAATCGAATTTAAAAATTTCTAATGGGGGTAGGTGGCCCGGTCATGCGGGAATTACGTTAACTAATTGCTCCACATTAAGATTAAGCGATGCCGATCATTCTCTCTCTGGCGGAGATCACTTTATAGTGAGATCCTACCAAGGAATGCACTCCTTTGGAAGACCAACTTGAAGATGGAGATAAGAACTGTGGGTCAATTATGCAATAGTTGATGTACTAATGGGTATCGATTGCAGATATCACTCACCATGGTATCAGGTGGATTCGAGTCAATAAGTGGACTTCCAAGACTGTTGGGAAATCACAACAGGTTTTGAAGATGATTCTCGACATAAATAAATCAGGCACTGCTTGTGTCTCTTGCGCTCCTAAATATCACTGTCAGGCGAAGACGATATCTTCAAGCGCTACCACTCACCCAGAAAGAAGAGCACTCTGAAAAAAGAACATAGATCATGACACCAGTGACTTTTTTCGTCAATCTCGTCCTTTTTTTGGCTCTAGTGGCCGGTATGTTTTTTTGCTTGACTATACTATCTGAATTGACTATTAACTGATTTGGACAACAAAAGAAGGACATACTCGAAGGCCACTTGACCGGAACGAGCTGGCCTCTCATGCTCAAGTTCTCAAGAATTGCGGACCCAATGTTGGCCTTCAAAAAAGAGGTCATCGGGCTATGCGCCGTCGTGAACTCTCTGTTGATGTGAACAGTCATGAAACGACCTACGAAATTCACGCCAATGCGCCGGAGTACGACTTTATCAAAAATTGGACCAATATTCTCACTCCGGAGACCAGTGATGGGCCATACTTTTATCCTCAGAGTCAGACCCTTCGTCAGGACATCCGCGAGGGTCAGCCAGGTGTCCCCTTATCTTTGGAGATTGGAGTGGTCGACATTAATACTTGTGAACCTATGGAAGATGTGCTTGTGGATATTTGGGTAAGTGGAATATTTTGCTTATCTATTTCCAATTGAGTCCTCCGGAGCGCTGATTCTGTGATTATAGCACTGTAATGCTACTGGGTCATATAGCTCTTTCACAGGTCTTTCTCCAAATACGCCTTTCCTGGAACTTTACGCCAATGCAACAAACGGCGGCACTCTGAATCTTACAGAGGGGCTTCCGGACCTTTCTGTGAGTCGTCTTTTTACTGCAATATATCTATGAAATGACGCTGACAAAGAGCCAGTGGCTTGCTACTGATAATAGCACTTTCCTTCGTGGCATGTGGCCGACTAACAAACAGGGTGTGACATCTTTCACTACAATTTTCCCGGGATTCTATGTATGATTCTACAAAATTTGGCTTTGGTTGAGCTCATTACTGACTATAACGTACCACTCTACCAGGTCCAACGAGCGATTCACATCCATGCCCAAGTTCACACGAATTGGTCGGTGATTTCTAACGGAACTATTGCCCACGGGCCAATTGTTAGTACCGGCCAAATATTCATTGATGAGGCTCTCGAAGAAGAAATCATGGCTGTTGAGCCGTACGCCAGCCATACCCAGATTGAGCGCGTCCCTAATGATGATGATGGAATTTACACGACTGAGTCGATGAGTAAGTCTTTTCCATTTTCCTTTGCTTATCGTTCCTCGGGCCTACTTTGTCGTTGCTTATGGTACGAGTGGCTGCGTCGGATCATTACGAATTCTGACATCCATTGAAGCGGGGGCAATGACACTCTTAGATACCGAACCTCTCGATGGAGTCGATTATCGCAATGGCGTCATAGGTTACATCACCCTGGTAGGTACTCCGATGAACCTTGCCCTTTGATTTTCTCTTCAGGTGTTTGGAGCTATTCTGACTAAACTGAATTCATTTCCAGGGAGTTGACCCTTCGTCAATCAAAAACGGTTCAACCATCAATGCGGGTACGTGGTTGAAAACATATTCTGGTACTTGAATCCAATTGGTAGAGAAGCTAATTAAACATCCACAGCTCCTCCTGTTGTCAATCTGACGAGTGTGAGCCATTGATAAATCTCCTACTTTGCGAAGTCAGAAAAATTCGGTATTACCTAATTTTCTAATCAATGCCCGTGAGATGAAACTGGCAGATGTGGCCTAAATTCCTTGACCCGAACAGATATTTAGAAGGGTCGCGTCAGGTCAGGTCATGTAGACTGAACACTCGATCATGGGAAGGAAGATTTGTGACTGGAAGTTTAGCTGGACATGCACCATTCGGTATGGTCTATTTTATTGGAATTATTGTGGGATTCGGCTCTTCATTCGTTCAGATGCCTAAAAAATAAATTCGAAGCACTCTATATTTCAAATATGGGATATCACTGCCATTCTCACTAAAGGGGGGCTTCCCTGAGGCAAACTAGTTAACGAGGATGCTTTTCAGCTGAATGACAAATTGGTATGTTATTACATTTCCGATGAAATAAACACTAAGCTGTATTCGATATATTGCGTTCATACTTCTATTCTCCTCCCTATATAATGGACCCCAGGCTATGTCTAACATTAGAAACTCAAGAAAAGGGCCCGGCTAGCGCCGGCATGTGCATTTTGAGTGACGAGCAATGCCATGACTAAGTTAGTCAAAGACACTGTGAGCAAACTCTATGGATTCCCTGCAGACTTGATTCAACCGTGGAAACTGGTTTACATTCATCGACTGCCATAAACCTGTTGGAGGGATATAAAAAGGACTCTAACAAGAGTCCCCTGCTTGAAGATGGCCTTCCTCGTGTACAGCTCCAAGATCAACATGGACAAAAGGCGGTATTGAAGAATGTCTTCGCTTTGGGCGACAATGCTGTGCTAGAGACCGGAGCTCCTTGTGCGACGGCATAGGCAACCCTCCAGGAAGCTAAGTTGCTATATTCGCATATAAACAAGCGTGAGACAGGGGAGTCACTACTCTTTCATTACAAGAACCTGGGCACTATAGCGTACATTGGAAACAAAAGGGCACTGATGCAAATACCCCACGCCCCCGCGGCACGCGCAACAAATTCCTACCCGATGGACTGACAGGGCGGATGGCTTCATTAATTTGCAACATGGCGTACATATCGATGACAATTAGTTGGAGCAATAAGTCCCGAATGGCGTTCGGGTGGATATTGGATCATGTTATGGAGAGAGATGTCTCGCGGTTCTGGTCAAGGAATTGGACGACCATCCCCAACTTTCCGAAACCCCTTCAGCTCTCTTGACGCCATCACAGCTCAGTGAAGGAATCATTCTACGTCTAGAGCATGGATACCACTATCGGTGGTTCTGCACTGGCATTCCAGTAGCCACTCTTCCCCATTCCATCAGACTTAGGAGCCTTGATGAGTTGGTTCATCCGATGCTGGAAAGACCACTCTGCTCGATGTATTGGCGCACCGCAAAACTGAAGGTGTTCTTAACGGTTCCATTCTGGTTGATGGTCGTGAGCTTCCCCTTTCCTTTCGGCGCTCTGCTGGGTACTGCGAGCGGCTCGTTGTTTTCGAGCCTTTTGCCACGGTCCGTAAATCCTTGGAGTTCTCGGCTCTGCTGCGCCAAGCTGGGAATGGTCCTCGCCAGGAGAAGCTGAAATTTTTCGAAACGATTATTCATATTCTAGATCTACACGATTTGGCCGACACTCTGATCGGCTACGTCGGTGCTGGTTTGAGTGTTGAGCAATGTAAGCGTGTCACTATAGGTATTGAGCTTGTATACATGCCTGTGAGGATGCTCAGATACTCGCAGAGATCAGGATGCGACGTAGCGATATCAGGCAAAAGTAATATCAGCGGCTCGACGAAAGTAATAGGTTGAGGAGAAAGTAGAAGATGAAGCTGAAGCGGAAGCAAGATACGGGTGTAGGCGTGGATGCCTAGGCGGATGCCATCCGCGGAAGACATCAACTACAATAGGAACTACCTACGGAGTAGCCCGATAGGCCTGCGGAAAATCTGTGCACATAAGTTGCCAAGTCTGCCATGAACCTTCTAAACCCTCTTTCTTTAGTCCCCGATAGTTTCATACCCATGAATGGGGTAGAAAATAGCACTACGGCTCATGAATAAACGCCATCATGACCATTCCGATCTATCGGGAGTGGCAGGTTTTCGCATGGAGCCTCCAAGGTATGTATCACGAGCAAGTCTACCATCACGAGTAGATTACGCTGTCCAATTTCTCGACATTATTAAGAAATACGCTTTGTAAGCATCGTACTCTATTGTAAAATAGTTTTTTTTGAGGTATTCTATTTTACCTCTTTTCATACAATACCCTAAATGCCGATAGTGACCGAATTATGGTCCCGAAAGTATGTGGGTCAGGCCTCAAAATCTTCAGAGTGGATCCAATGGGCGGTCTGCTAGAACGGTCTAGACAAGACGGATGATTTTCCCGATCCAGCCGATCACACCGAGGACTACGTCTCGGCTTCCGCTTATGTAACGTGAGCAAAAATAGAGACAAGCTAGAGCTTGATATCAAGCTGACCCCTATATTATAATGGTCGGCTATACTACGGAGTACATCACTTGTCTTTAATTCACAAAATTTTGACGCGTGACAAAATTACTGCACTGCAGTTTTGTCGAGGATCTTGCACGCATGCTTTGAGGTGAAGCTCGAATCGGCTGAACAAAAGACAAGATGAAGCTCTCAACGGCATCCTCTATAGTCTTAAGAGAATGCAATGGGGACACAAGCGTTTCGAGCTGCGAGAAGCCTACAAGCGCAGTCCTCACTGTTGGCGTGCCGGCAGCCATATCAGGCGTGTAAGTGAAAATTACGAAAGATACTCGCTTTAAATTAAACTTTACTTAGGATCGTGGTGGCCGCTATCATTGTTTTCGTTTATCTCCATTTCCGGGCCCGTGCAAACGAGAGGCGTGAAGGTCTCAGGGATATACGACGGGCGTCTAGGTTTCACCATCGAAGTTCCCGGGCGTCGGGTGACCACTCCACGACGCATCACACATCAGATCATCAAGCAGCTGGAGATAGTGATACCTACAGTATATCTAGCACCTCTGAGCTACGATACGGGCGAGTAGCTCCGACCTCAATGTTAAAAGCTGAGGGGTACCAAGAGATCTACGAGCTGCCGTCTTATGAAATTCCCAAGCCACATCTAAGCAATCTGAGCGCAAGGAACGTTGTCTAACTGGCAACAACATGCTCATCACTTCTTGATAGCTGTGGGCTCTCCTTGGTATAATGACCTCGGTAAATTAGCTTCGCTTTAAATGTACAATAATCTTCGAAAGTTTTCACTTATGTGCCGGGTAACTGCCCCCTCAAACAAATTACCAGCAGATAGAAGGCAAAGATTGGACTTGACCGAAAATAGCATTTCTCCTCCCGCTCAGCTATTGTCAGTAGATTCGTTGCCTCTAAAATCTCGAATTCTAGTCCAATTAACTGCGAACTCAAAAACTCTTGATGATCTGGAAAAGTAACGCGTCAAAATAGATTGCTCAAGAGATCCTAGTGGCGCTCCCGCGACAGAGAGATTGGTGGAAGCCCAATTCTTGAGCAAGTCGTACTGCTCTAGCACCAATATGTAGGTTGCAGTTCGTTCATGTCAACCATTTCTGACCATAGAATAACCTTAGAAATGTGTCCAGCTTCGTACGTATCAAGCTCTTGGGAGATTAGACACTTCACGGCGTTGTATGAATCGAATGGGTTCATTCTGCTGGACTAGCTGGCCATTCTCCCAGAGGCATTGATGAAAGCGTCTCAGACGAAGCAAAATCTTACAACAGCACACCAGATGGCATAATAGTGTAGCAAGAGATATCCGGGCTGCCTTTGATCGTTTAAATTCAATGTCTTAAAAGCTTGAAGGAGAGCCCAATGTTGATGCACGAGGGGTTAGCATCCTGACTATAAAAATCATTTGAGAGAGTTCTGGCAGTGCTTGGACTGAGTATTTTGAACTGAACTGACATGCTGTAAGAGAAAGATCCATCCACCGACAAACTAAATATCTATTTGCAGGAGCCCTTCATTGAGTGGTAAAGCAGAATCCGAATAGGGCAGAGGAGAGATGCCGAAAGACCTTGTCTAACCGGTGATCGCGACCAGAGTATGTTGACATCTGATTTACTCAAGCTCTAGAAATATGACTGCACCATAGCGTGCTTTGGGCCAATTGGACCTCAATTCGAGGGATAGGCTGGTCGCCTAGAGGTGAGCAACGTTGATCGCTGAACCGCGAAATAGAGTAGTAAGAATGGGGCCCGAAGGTGGAAAATACAAAGGGATTTTTAGTCCGTCTGTCGAGAGCTGACGGATATAGTTTCATTACATGAAATTTGTGGAGCCTTGGTTAGCTTTTGGAGATGTGTAAAAATATTCATGTTTTGCGAAATGCACTAAGTTTCAATGAATAAAATAAGCCGCCGTTTTCTACAGGGCTATCTTCCACCCGTAGCCAGGAATCTTCCACTTTGAGTAGAAGAAATGGCCTTTTTGGCAAGAATATGTAATTCAGAGAAATGATTGTTGAGTAATTTCTTCTCCGCTGAATCGCCATAGACGCATCGGGAAGGAAATCGAGAAAGAGTAAGGGTTGCTCTGCCAATCAGCTCCAGATCTTGCAAGGCTCGTACATGAGCTGGATTGAGCAGAATATTGTAAAAAAGCAACAACGACGTACCCACCACATAGTACGAGAAAACCCTAGGTTGGTTAGCGGAAATCCGATCTCAGATGTTGTAAATCCTACCAGTAACTCGCAAATGAGAAGTCTTGTCGTGGGACAGAATATAAAAATGTCAGGTATGCACGGCTAGCTTCGATAGAGATGGCCAGGCTGGAGCTTAGGGCCTCCAGATTATCATTGTTCTCGGCCCAGACTATACATCTGCTAGTGGCCTCGTGTATCATTCTGATGCAGTGAATGTACTCTGACTGTATGAAAATCCAACGAATCTCCTCGCAGGGAGCATAATCACATTGGGAAAGTGATGGGCGATGCTCACTCGGCAAAGAAACCCGCCATTCCTCTAATTCTTCGTCGAGTTCTCGAACAGCTCTGATGATATCGGTATTGCAAACCTTCCGAGCCGAGCTTGAATACAAGCAGTTAAAAATCTTAGATTTTATGACGCTAAGCCGCAAGTCACTTGGAAATGGCTGGTCGTGAGCGTCGAGGTAGATTATCCTTTCGCAATATAGCTCTGGGAGTGTCAAATCACAGTGTTCGTCGGAGATAGTAGGTCGTCGACCGGTTCGCATTGTCAAATCCTTATCAAGGAAATAGGTCACCCAGAAAAGATCCCTGGCGTGGCTTCTGGTGTTGAGGTGGCCGCCTAACGAGTATATCATCTGCGCGGCAATGCCCACATACGTATGTATGGCTTCATAGTCTCCCGAACACCCGCGGCCCAAAGCCTGTGAAATTTTAGTTGCGATCGACAACAGTACGAAATTTTATAAGCTTACCAGCATCAACATGGTTCGAATCCCATCAAAAGTGGCTGGCTGAGTTAAAATTTCGGGAACCAAGCTCCGAGCCTGTAATTCGCATTTTTCTAAGTCAATTAGCAAAGATACTTCAGAGAAATGATATGCAATAAAAGCAGTGAATGCAAAAAGACAAGCCTCAGAAGCGCGGCATATATGACCTTCGAAGAATGCAATGATTGTACTTTGGAAGCAAGGAGTGTCGATAATCGGGAAAGTGCGAGCCATTCTCGTAGAGTTATACAAGATCAAACACTTTTGGACCAATGGTTGTGATAAAAGTCTCAGACCAAAATCAGCTCCTTGCTGAATAGGCTTGGAAGTAGTCCATGTTTGAAAAGGGTTATTAGGAAACTCTGGCCGTATCATATCCCGCCTTCCCAATGTGCATCTTGCTATCCATTTTTGGCTGCCGAGAGAGAGTACTGAATTGCACAGACTGGCTTGAAGATTGTCCAGCAAATCTGAAATATATGTCTCCGAGTCTTCGTTCATGTTCATGACGGGATTTATAATTGGAGAGCTCGAGGTAGAATCAGCAGCTTCACCACGCCTTATCGCGTACGGATGATCGATAAGTTCGTTTTCTTCTTGAATCTGTCTAAAGTACTGGTCACTCAATGTCCTTTCCGCCGTGGGGGGAGGGGGGCAAAAGAGCAGCTTACTTCGGCAGGGACGATTTCGTATTCTTCACGCGATATGGGCGAGTGAAGGTACATTGGAGATGTCGATGTTCGCACCATTCACATATAGGCTTCTTACGATCACAATGGATCTTTCACTCATTCAGGATCATCCTTGCTCAGACAGTTTTATACGAATCCTAACCTTCTTTTGGTGACAAGAATCACAAGAGCGAGACATATTTGCTTGAGCAATTTTTCATTTGCTCCCTGCGGAGGACATGTCCCCGCGGTTTGCGATCCGTATCTTATGAGGAGAACAAAACTCGTTGCAGTACCAGAGGTCTTGACTGCAAGGGCTGATGGTCAGCTCTAGGTGATTTCGAAATACCTCCAGGCGAGAAAGCCTACAGCGTCGCTTTAAAAAGGAGTCAGTTAACGTAGGTGACGAACGGCCCAGGACTTTATTCGATTTCCCTCTGTACTGCCACGTTTGAGGTTTTTTGCCACCAAGGAAGGTTACAGTTTTGGTGGGCGTGGAAACTGCGAGAGCTGTTTTAGTGGACCGAAATTCTCTTTACCGAAAACTGGGAGCCAATAGTGACTAATTGCCTGAAATGAGTTGAACCCTAAAATGATGTTGCTGTATGTACTCCGTAATAGCGGACGATACCGAGCGTAATTAACAATACAGGCTATATATGTAATTAGCCGGGACAAGCCGGCAGGATCGCTCAACTACTCCGTAGATTACGCACTTGGATGGAATGACTGACTCACAATTGGATCTCTCCATGACTAGCCCGTGCGCTCTCGCTCCTGTTTGACACGTAATAGCACCATACTTCCGAGTGTATCCCAGTTACTATACAAAATAATGTGTGGAAACGCGTTCTCGATGAGTAAGCACGCTACTGCATCTTCCATGCAGTGTTAGTGGAATTTTAGTGACTTCTAGTTTGGCATTTCTCCTAAAGACTGCCGTACCTCTAACCGTATGTAAGTTGGGGCTAGCTTGGCGTCAAGGCCTGGAGGTCGCTTTACCCAAGCGAAAGTGGAAGAAGCGGTTAAATACGATCCCCGTCTTGTACTCCGTACTCCGTACCGACGGAGTACGGAATACGGAGTACAGTGGCCCAAGTAACTCATCTATATCCACAATTACATGATGTTCTCCCGGCATAACACGCCCCGTTTTCTGCTTGTCCTGGCTTGAAGGATACATATCATAGGCTGTTGATGTAGCGCTAGTACATATGTAGTTAGCCTAGTAGCGGTGAGAAACTGGAGATAGACGAGTCATATTGGCCTCCTACTGTGGCAGTCAGTATTGTTGTGGATTAATGTGGGTCATGACCCAGTGATCTAGATGCAGGTCTAACCCTAATACATGAGTAGTACGTATCATGGTAACAGGACAATACGGGGGATCCAACACTCGGCAACAAAGTTTAAACGTGTTTCATGGGTAGTCCGGCCACCCGAAAACACATGGCAAATGGGATAAACTACAACTTTATCTCAACAAACAAAACGATTCAAGATGGTATATTAAAGTATTGTATTCCAAATAGTATTAATAGGTTACTTGTAGAATGTGTAACTAAAAAATATTCTCGTGGCAGGGATATATATACCGGTCTCCAAAACATCCAAATTATTGCAAATTGTTAGGACAATCCCCGGAGGGCGTCCTGATACGATAAGGATACGAGTGAAGAATGTGAGATATACCTGATATGGGTACGATGATATTCAGACTAATCGCTGGTCCTCCTAAAAGGATCCAGCTCCTCCCTTTAAGGGGATGCTTGTGTGCGTATGCAAGCAGGTAAGCGAGGTGATGTATCAACAAGCGGCTCCGGTGGTGGATAGGCACCTCCTCCGCATCTCCTATACATCATTGTATGGTTGGCGTAACAGAAACGCGATAAAAGGGAATGAAGGAGAAACGGGCCAAGAGGTTTTGGCCTGTCATGTTATTTTCGCGTATCTGGTTCGTTATCATCCCGCGGAGATCGTTTTCTCACTTCGTTGGAAGACGGGCTATGCCTTGCTTTAGGCTTAACATATTCCCCCTCAGAGCCTTTCAAGGTTACACAAGGCTGCCCAAGCTTTTGAGTATCACTGACTGAGTACTGTCTAGTGACCCGATCATGAGTGTCATTGGAAACCTGGGGTAGGGCTCCAAAACGGCTATTATACCTCTTCTCGGTTAAGTCCCGAAGTGCTTCTTCTGTCATGGAGCCAACCAGCTGTGCTGAATTCCCCAAAGATGAAGCTTTTTTAACATCAAATATATCGGCTAAAGTATTCACCACAACTTGATCGCTTTCGCCATCTGCGATTACTTCCCCGACACGGTATTCTTTTCGGCTGGAGACTTCACTTGCAACCCTACAAACCTCTAAGCATTGCTTGGAGGTATTGATGTCGTTCAGTAACCGCGATCTCTCATTTCCGTCATTAGGGTCATTCTTCAACACAAGAGTTTCTAGACGACTCCGAAGTTGATTGATGATCATGGCAAAATTATCCTGGTTTTCTTCCAAAGCTTGACGTGTGAGAGTTTGTGCTTCAAACTGATGAATATCTTGCCCCGCACTATTTGCCCCGCGAAGAAGTGCACATTCTTGAGTCGCCAAAGATGCGATATAATCGCCCGCATTTTCGCAAATACGAAGACATTGCTGAGTCACATCTTTTTCGTCTTTTAAATCGACAGTCGAACTCGAGTTGGCTGTTGTATCGGTGGTCAATTGCGCCATTTTCTCATCAACTCGTTGTAGATGAATTTCAAGGCCATATACTGTATCCTTTATCATTTCATTATATTCTTGAAGAGCTTTCTGGGAGACCTTTGCATTATGTCTTTATTGATATTAGCAAGGTTTCGTAGATAAGACAGGAATGAACAAACATAGTCAAGGTACCCAAGCCGACTGAAATTGTAGATTTATACCCGGAAATTGTATCGATAAATTCATGAATATCACCTCTCATGAACTCCATCTTCGTCCAATCTCGGAAACCTGTCTTCGATTTTCGACTGAAAGCCTCCATTGATTTTTCAAAATCACAGCATACTTGGGCACACCTCTCAATGGGGCCTTGGAGAAGCGCCAGCATTGATGCCTCGGTATCGACCACTTGCTTCAAAGAATCCAATATATTGAAAAGATCGCAAAGCTCATTTTGAAGCCTGCCTAATGTTTTATCGCGATCCTTGAAGCGTGTGATGGTTTCACGAAGTGCTTTTGTTGACTGAACGGCAGCTGTTATCACAGCTAACAGCGAGGCGGTTATGCTCAATGGATCTGCCATTGCGCTTGGTCGTGAGTGTCATTCGTTCAATAGGACTAAAGTATCATTGGAAGCGCGAAGAGGAAGGTGGATGAGAAGGAGGAGGATGAGAAGGAGGGGAATGAGAAGGAGGGGGATGAGATGAAGGGGGAATGAGAAGAAGAGGGGAAGCAGGGGCTGAGCTGAGGTGGTGTGGGGGGGGGGGGAGGAAAAGGCAATACCGTAACGTGGTTGGCCATATTAGCGCTGTGGCTGATGACTTGAGGATGTCATGTGACTTTACAACAGTTTCAGGCTATCGCAGCTGCGGAGATTTAAACAGATTACCAGGATTGTCAGAAAGGCAATGGAAAGCAGGAATGCAAGTAAAGTAATTAGGGCTGTTGCGAATACGAATATTCGCATTCGCTGTTGAGTATCACGGGGTCTAAGGCCCTGTGGTGGGGATCATCAAGAAACATAAATAGATAAGGAGTCCCACATCCGAGATAGACAGATAAGAAATTCAATACAATCAATTCTATTTTGTTGAGATAGGTAGTTGTAGTGTTCTTATTGAGGTTACTATCGAAAGTGGGAAACCCATCTATTTAAATGTCCATCGCTAGTCCCGCCATAAGCTTTGACCACCGCGATACTCAACACTCCCACTCGATGGCAACCCATTACCAATGGTATCAGCGACCATATGATCGCGGTTGCGACGGGCTCCATTAAAACCTTCAAAAACTTCATTTGTGAAGAAAGGAAGGAAAGGATGCCCTACGCCTTAATCTCGTTCAATACAAATAAGGTATCGCAATCACTCGATGCCAAGCCCTCTCCGAAACCACTCAAATCTTTCCCGAGCAAGGGGTTTGGTGAACCCATCAGCAATTTGTTCTGTGGTGGGGATATACTTGAGTTTGACTGTTCCGTTGTCCTGGACCTCTCCCTGCCACTTGCGTTGGATCTCCATATGTTTTGTGCGGGAGTGGTATTGTGGGTTCGAGGAGAGCGCAATGGCTCCTTGGTTATCTCCGCAGATGATCGTGGCGTTTGTTCCTTGGTTCATATTCAATTCGTTGAGAAGCCTTCTCAGCCAGACTGCTTCTTTGGTGGCTTGTGTCTGCCTAGAAATTCGGCTTCGCAGGTTGAGAGGGCAACGACGCCCTGACGTTTCGATTGCCAACTGATGGCCCCACTTCCAATATTGAAGAGATACCCAGCTGTTGACCGTCTCGTGTCACGACATCCTCCCCAATCTGCATCTGTGAAGCCTTTCAGTTTCTGAGGCTGACCTTTGTACGCGAGTCTGAGGCTCTTTGTTCCTTTGAGGTACCGCAGGATACGTTGAGCGAGTTTCATGTGCTGGGGCCCAGGATTTGCCAGAGATCTACTCGCCACAGAGACTGCGTGCGCGATGTCCCCCCCTGGTTCCAAGCATAATGTACATCAGAGATCCGACCATGCGTTGGTAAGAGGTCCTCTGATCTGGAGGGCACGTATAGTCTGGACTGTTCTCTGGAAGCGGTGAGGTTTCTATCGGCGTACCGATGGGAGCGCAGTTGCCAATATCAAATTGATGAGCAACCTTGTCAATGTATGCTTCTTGACTTAGGGACAGTTTCCTGTTTTGGCGGTCTCGCTGGATGGATATCCCAAGGTAGTAGCTGCATGGGCCCAGGTCTGTCATTTGAAAACGGTTTCTGAGGCTCCGCTTGATCTTCTTGATCTCTGCGATACTCGGACCGACGATCAGGAGATCATCAACATACACCGCGATGTACATATTGCTCCGAACGAAGATACCAAGATCGGCGGTGATTGGCTCGAAGCCAAGATTGCGTAGGAAGTTCGTAAGGGTCTGATACCAGATGCGAGGAGCCTGCTTTAACCCATAGAGGGCCTTTCGAAGCTTGCAGACCCTTGAAGTACCGTCCGTCATGTGATGGGGCTGTTCGACGTAGATCTCGTGGTCTATGTGTCCGTACAAGAATGCGGTTTTGACATCCATTTGCTCGATCTCCAGGTCCGGGGCCGCTCCGATTGCGAAGAGGGCCTTGTAGCTCATTGGCTTGACAACCGAGGCAAAGGTTTCATCATAGTCAATACCGTCTTCTTGCGTGAAGCCTCTCACCACCCATCTGCTCTTATGGCGGAGTACTTCGCCATAAGGTCCTCGTTTGAGTTTGAACACCCATTTTCCACTGAGAACTCGCCGGTCTTTCGGGGGATCAACAATCTCCCACGTTTTGTTTTACTTGAGTGAGTCCACTTCTTCAAGCATTGCTCTTTCCCATTCGAGCCAGCTTGTATCGTTCTTCGCCTGATACAGGTTTTTTGGCTCGAAGGGTTCTGTTTCCCCTGCAGCTACCGTCAAGAATGTTGAGATGACGTTCTCTTCGGGTATATTCATTAGTACAAGCGCTTCTTCACTCTCACCAGACGTGTCTAACAAGGCTTGTGGAGCGCGGATTCTGAGTTCAGGGTGGTGATCTAGTGCTCCTTGCTACACCTCATATACTGGGCGGTCAAGTTGGAGTTCTGGATATCGTTGCCATTCTCCTAAATTTAGCCCTTGCTGAGCGTCGCCTTGTTGCTGGTCGCCACCGGACGGTAGGTCAGTCCCAAGGACAGAATCCTGATAAGCAGGTGATAGAGGTCCGAGGGTATCGTCACTCCGTGTGGACGACAAGGTCCTGTCTCCCTGTACAGCAACATCTGGCTGCGAGTCATCGTCACTCGATTGAGACGACGCTTGGATCTGCGAGCTTTTGTTACTCGACTAGGCAAGCACTCGTGAGTTATCGTCACTCCGAGGCAGTGTGTGCGAGATATCGTTTCTCGGCTTAGGTAGGGGCCGCTATAGGGGATCCATCGACAATCGGTACCCCGAAGCAGGCACGGATGCTTGCCGTATACCTACCGACGGTTGATTTATTAGTCCCACCGTCTCACTCCCCCCTACAGCAGCAGCCGTTGCCTCAGGTAAGCCGTCTCATCTAGCTCCCACATCTTCTATAGTCTATGTAGAGGGAGCTGTCAGGACTTCGTGAAATTCAGCGTTTAGAGTCCCAACAATTCTTCCATCTCCCAGAAGGATGCAGTAGTTGGTATTTCCTTCATAGCCTAGCAGAATACATGGCCTTGTTCGCAGATCCGTAAGCTTCTTTCTTTGCTTTGGCGGGATCAAGTATTCCCCTTTGGATCCGATCACTCTAAGTCGTGATAAATCAGGTTTGTCGCCATACCACGCTTAATACAGAGTCATATTGAGCTTCGATGACGGTGATCGGTTGGAGAGGAAAGCTGCGGTTCGAGCGATTTCTGGCCAGAACTTAGACTGCAACTTTGCATATGCTAGCGTAGGTCCAATGCGGTCATAGATTGTCTTATGGGCTCTTTCGGCAACCCCATTCTGCTGATGTTGATCCACTCCTGTCACCTCAGCTTGAATTGCGCGCGAGAACAACATGAACTTCATCTCATCTCCCATTTGTTCAGATATCCGGTCGAGACGTATTCGCTTTCATTTTCGCTCGGGGCGCTCGTTGTGATCGAGGAAGAACCGCAGTGATTCTATGACGAACTCTTGTCTTCGTGGTATAGGGGTAATCTCGATCCAGCCCGTAAAGTCGTCAACAATGGTGAGCCAGTAACGACTGCCGTCAAGGCCCTCGTCAAATAGCCCAGCTACGTCAATATAGAGGAGCTCCATTGCATATTCTCCTCTCCTGCTACTTCCTGATCTGCGGTGGGGTTTTTCGATCATTCGCCCCTACAGGCACGAATTACATGGATGACGTGGCTCCATGTCCCGGACACCGTAAGCCTGTTTTTTGAGTCGCCGAAGATTTGCATCACTCATATGAGCAAGCCGATTATGCCACAGAGACATTTACAGGCTAACATAATAAGAGGGGAAAGTCAGACTTGCCCATAGATCGAGTGCATAGACTCCATAGTATTCGCTGGCAGTAAACAAGTTCTTTCCATTTGACTTATTACGAAGAATAGCATCCCGGCTTGAGAATTCGACTTTAGCCCCTCGTTTAAGAAGCTAGAGCACCGATATCAGATTAGCATGTGCAGATAGAACATAGAGGACGTTATCAAGCACAAGCCATTTCTTTTTGCCGCGTACATTACACAGGATATTCACTGTTCCCACTCCCGAGGGAGCCGTTGAGGTGCCAACGCCTCTTAGTGGGGGGCCATGATACTTGTCCATTTAGACAAACCTCGAGGCACCATTGCAGACGTACTGAGCGCATCCACTATCCACGATCCACGCATCGCGGATAGAGAGGGTCGTTATCGCCATCATTGTGGGGATATGGTCGAGCCGGGCGAAATTGCCTTCGATATCGTATCCAAATGCTTCGTTGACATCTTTCTTGGAGACCTTCATCGCCATGAACGTTGGTTTCTTCGGATCCTTTAGACTACCCGCATCATTATCCTCGTCATCCGTCGAGGGCCGCCTCTTCGACTGTTTGCGTGCGCCCGTATGCATTCTACCGTCTTTCTTGTGGACCTTCAGTTTCGGATTCTTGGTAAAGCATTCGGAGTCAACGTGGTAAGGTTTTCGGCAGAATGAGCAATATGGGACATTATCGATCTCGATTCGACAAGTAGTTCCGTCTGACAACGGGATGAGCTTCTTGTAACCTGGCCCACGGACTAGGGCAAGAGCAGGAAGTGCTTACATCTCTGTTGTTTGTTTGCCCAATTGCCCCTTCCGATACTCTTCCTCAATTGCCTTATTCTCGATATAGTCGAATGTAGGCACCGCTTTAGTGACGTTCCCATTTGCGTCCCTTTCGTTGACAAGGTCCATTTATCGGAAGATATGATCGCGGATACTCTCATACTCAGGACCGAGTACATACACGAAGAAAAATGTTCGCTCAATTTCGGAGGTTACACAATCAGGGTCAAGGAGGAGTTTTTCAGCATGGATCTTCCTAATCTCTACCCCAAGGGCTTGAGTGCTCCCACACTTGTCTCTTGTAAGGGCCATATATCGCCGTTGGAGGTTAACATACGTGCCGAAACCTTCTGGTTTGAAGTTGTCCTGGATTGCCTTAAGCAGTACTTAAACTCGAGGAATCTCAAAGGCATTGATCCTTTACGCCGCATTGTGTGTCAGCTTTACCGTGATCATCGCAGAATAGAACTTTTGGCGGCAAATCCATTGCCGTACTTCTTCTTCTTCTATCGGTAGAGTCGCTCCATCATCGGCAACCGCAGATATCCGAATAAACTCATTGACCTTCTGATTCCACCTAAACCAGTCGCTGGCATTATCTAATATTGGAATTCCGTTATAGAACGTATTGATTCCGAATTGCTCGAACTTTGCGATTTCAGTCATGTCGGCAGAGGATGCTCCTCAGAGCCGAAGAATTCAGAGCCAGATATGTCGTTCGGCCGATCAGAGGTAACCGAGTCACTATTTGATGACTGAGGAGAGCACACCTCCAAGCCGAAGAGTTCAAGGCTTAACGCGGCACTAGGAAGGCTTAAGGCAATAGAAACGCTTCGATCTGATGAACTTGGCGTAGGCGTTCGAGATGGAGGAATATAATCGTTGTCTGAGAGCCCTTATAGATCGAGAGAGTACTTATACGATCTGAAGAAGTGTAGGAAATGACGTCGGTCAACTAGATATTACAGCTTTCTTGGAGGGAAAGTTGAGGGTCTGTTCGGCCGAAGTTCGTAACGACTCGAAACGCTGTTATTGGAAGTAAATTGCTCGCATCCACCCGCAAGGCTTGGTGGGGTCAAGGCCAAAGTCTCAAGGTTATTTTCTGACCGAGTGAGAGTGCCAGAGGCGGGGCAGTTAGAGTGACTTGTCCCCTGCTCGATACTGAATGACGCGGATTACGTTTCGACGGCTGTTGGGAAGCCTTCCACACAGCTGCAAGGTGCAACTGGGATAATGGTCCTCGATGCTCGGCGATTGCGGTCCTCAATAGACAGGTTCCAGTAGGCTCCTCGGAGTGCACTGGAAGAAAGTGTTGGGAAGTATGACGCTTGGATTTGTTTGAAGCCCCAGTGGCAAGTGTATCGAAGGTACGAGAGGATGTTCAGCTCCTCGTCCGTCCAAGAATGTCTCTTTTGTACCTTCCCCCGCATGGTATCGCAGAATCGAAATAGCCCTCGGGCTGGTAAACTCGCGAAGGTGATTCTTGAGCTTGATTCAAATGGTGACACGTCCTAGTTGTAGACACGACTCCACAGTACCCCATGCCAGTGCGATAGCATAACCGCAGCAATAATGGCGCAATGTCTATGATCCTTTCAGCAGAGACGCCATTAAAACTTCGCTGCAAACGGTGACTTGTCTCCGCTACGAGGGTAACCTTGCAGTACCCTATGTCGGCAAGACTGAAACAGTAGCAATGATGAGAGATTTTCTGTGATTCTTTGCCGGAGAAAGTCCAACTGTGTTAGTGCTCCAAGAGTAGTTGAATAGTAGAACTTCGTAATTTTCATCAAGGTACTGGAAATATATGATCAGTTTCAGAACTTCATGGACTCAGTTTTTGATAGAGAAGCTTAGCTGTAATGGCAGGCAGAAAAATGGAGACATTTTTCTGTTTAGATCCTTGAGTGCCCAAAGATAAAGCCACCCGGGCTCATAACCTGTTGAGATAGGTAGTTGTAATATTCTTGTTGAGGTTACTATCAAAAGTGGGAACCCCATCTATTTAAACGTCCATCGCTAGTCCCATCATAAGCTTTGACCACCGCGATACTTAACAATATTGGGGATCTTTGTTCCCTCACGAATGCAAAAGTTGATAAACAGTGCGAAATGATAATTTTTAAATATTAGGTTCGATATGGTAGTACATAGACCGGTCGGTCTTCTGTGTAACCTTCTCTCCGCTCGATCTTCGTCGCGTGCTCTTTGACGATATTCTGTACAAAAAGTGAGGTACATAGTGTCGCTATATGCTGCCTCGTTACCTGCAATATATATATCCCTAGACCAATGCTATTGTATACATTATCAGCGGTAAAATCGGCAACGAACCAATAGAGTAGTAGCGATGGAAAGCCTAATTCTTGTACACATATTTCAGATATCATTTTGTGTCGGCCTGATCGAAAGAAAGGACCTTGTGGAGCTCAAAACGCTGATCTGGCTGGATGTATGAAAAATGGGCGGGTATGATTATTTGGGCAATGGTGGTCATAATTGTGCAAAATCCGCGCCCAGCACATCTCCCAATGTGGTCTAATGGAAATTGCCGCATTGGCTTTCTAATGACGGCCCGGGTTCGATTCCTGCAGGATACATTCAGATGCCCCCTCATTTGAAAGACGGACCAGAAGCTGCTTGATTTTCCGGGTGATTTTGTGTTTTCTACGGTGGATTTTTGGCTCTTGGCCCCTTCGTGATTAAAACGAATCCACTTTCCTGTAGTCACTTGCCCATGCTGACCCAAGGCAGCATCCGGCGGTAATCGGTGCCCCAGGCGACGAGGCCGTGCACTCATGCGTTGCAGCGTCTCGCGCCGGGCACACTTCACACTCGCACATTAACACAAACATGACGGCTACTTTCGAAGTCAATCACTACGTCTTACCACGAGTTATCAAAAACCGAACTGGCATCTTTCGAGTAATAATTGAGCAATTTCGACGTCGCGGCAATCGACTGGCCGTACTTTACGGGGCTGCCTCTACTGATGAGTTCAGGGCGTTCGGTAATGGCATGGAGAAGGGAGTATTCGATCTAGTACCGATTATCAGCAGCTCAGCTGGTGCAAGGAGGTCTTTCGCTGACGAGAACTTACTGACCAGCTTTTAATCGCTGTCTGCATTGGGACACAGCCAAAGCAATTTGCTGTAGGACAAATATGATCTGGCACCATTATCAGCAGCTGGCGCAAGGTGGTCGCTCACAACTCACCGTGCTCGTGGTCTAGAAAAGATCCCCTAATACAAGCCGCGAGCAGCATCCCGACCGGACTCGTGGGAAAGGCCGAGCCCGGGGCTGTGTTTCACTGCCTCTTCGTGTCAGTATGATATCTGGTGACTGAGGATGGTAGAGACTTGCCGTCAGTTCAGTGTGGCATTGGCATAGGCAAACCAGAGATGTGGTGGGCTCAGCTCGATTATACGTGAACGAGGGCCCAGGATCACTCCGTATCGCTGCAAATGAATGTTGGCAATATCTGCCAATGCATAGCTGTTTCGTCTTTGCTGTTCGGATAGCAGATAAATTTTCAAATATGCCAGGACAAAGTCCCGTTGAAAGAGAGAATCGTGGTGTTTGTCCCGGGTAGACTAGGAACTGACCTGAAACTACTGCTCTCGTGGCGAGAGATCTGGGGTAGATCGAGCGCTGCGGTCTGCCTTGTCACTTGCTCAGCTGCAACCAGGGCTCGACGGAGCTATCCTTCAGACGCTGGCCAAAAGCTCGACTCATTTCTGATTGATGCCATTCTCGGAGAAGCCGTGATATCTCTCGGTGGTCGTTGATGCTACGCTTCCCTTTGTTGTCGCCGGATGCTGCGATCACCCAGTCGGCCTAGCATGAGACTAAATCATGCCTGTCGGAATACGGAAGATTTCTAGTGCATTGACAGTTAACCTTTGGTCGGACAGGGTGAACCTGGAAGAGGTAATAGCATGTTGGAACTCTACCATATGGTTAACCGGAGGGTACCGAGCCTTTCTGAATCGGGCCCACTAATAAGCCAGGCCAAGTGGCTGTGTCAACCACGTCTTCAGAAACGACAAAGACGCAAGCGTAGTGAGATTCAGTGGCTTGACCCATTAGGTTGTTGAAGCTGGGTTAGTTTCGAAGATGAGGGGGAACATAGCTCTGTCAGGTCGAGTGTAAAATTGAAGCTCGCCCTATGACGAAAAAGAATCATAAGCGATATTTTCTAAGGAACGGAGAGCTACGAACGGAAAGCGTTCGTTTTGAGATTGAAAATGCAGTACCGGGCGTTGGGAATGGGCAGGGGCAAAGCACTAGCGTGACTTACAAGACATTGAGCGACTCGCGATAGAAAGTTCGCTATCCTATATAGAGGGTCGTCAGCACATGGTGTCTGCCTTGAAAATTGCTGCAGTCTTTGAACTTACATTGTCGGTTCTTGCTGTCCACTGCAGGGAACTGTATAAAGGATGGCACCTCATTATCTTCAATCATTAGCAGGTAGCTTATGAAGGCAACTTGTAACTCACTGTGCTCGCAGCTTGGACCATTCCAGATCCAGATCCTGAAGGTTCGTCCAATGGCTTCTCAGGGATATAGCGGAGACAGGGCTGATATCAAGCATTTTCCATGTTAGCATGATTCCAAATCACTGGGCAGCTACACTCACTTGCCGTTCGAAGACCTCTTGTGTCGAGAAAAGCCAGGCTAATGCGATGCAACAAGTCAGTCAATTTCGTTGCACGATTTCGAAGTCAACATACCAAATAGTAGCCACGGAAACGAGAATTGATCGATATTCTTTTACCCGGATTGACAAAGGAATGCTCGCGAGCGACGGTTCTGCTGGCGACGGATCGGGTTATTTATAGCAATTCAGCCAGGCATTCAGCCTGCGTCAATGAGATCATCATTATGAATTGTGAGGGCTTAAACAAAAACTACTCTTCAATAATGACTGGCTCAACATTTCACCATTGATTCAAAGCAGCTCTCAAAGACATTGCATTTTGTTCCTGGTGATCAAGAACATGAAAAATATTTTCTGGCGGTTGGCATTGTTTCAACAGTCATGAGGAGGCCGCACAAAAGAACCAACGACGGTTATCACCATTCACCACCGTGAGTCTGCCCTTTCATGCGACGGGTGAGGCGACGAGGTCATGTCATTTCGTTTCACTCACCGGTGATGAGCCCGTTAGTCCCCGCAACAGCAACTCAACGAAGGCAGGCAGACCGCAGGTTTCTTCGTTGCGTACCTCGAATATCGGAGAAAATCCATCACACCTACATAATATCAAGCAGGTACAAGCTATGGTGCAGTGTGGGACTAATTCGCAGAGACCACATCTCGCGAAAGAGCTCCTTGTATGCTTATTGAGTCACGAGATCGATTATGTTTTCGCAGAAAATCTTTTCTGCTATCGACCTCGTCTTTGCGTATAGCAATACCCACATCGATCTCCTGGGAACTAAATGGATACTGGAAGGTGCGTACTACTACCAGGAAATATGAGACGATTAGTGCCATAGATGGCCCACATACGAGCAAGTATGAAGTGACATGATTGGTTAATATCTAGCCATGGCTCCCAGGAGCTTGTGGGTCGTAATTATTGATACGATCATTGGATACCACTAATAGAGTGATATCTACGGAGGAATAATGAGCCAATCGGTGCCATGAATGATCCACAGGTACACAAAGCCTCAGTAGAAATTATCGGTCCAAATTTGGCTATGAGCTCCTGGGAGCCTGAGCCTACCATTACATCTACCATAATTGGATAGCCCGTCAGAAATACCCACATCGAATTCCCGGGAAATAAGTGGATATGTGAACTTGGGTACTGCTGCAAAGAGATATGAGCTAATCACAGCCATGAATGCCGACAGACGCACAAGGTTTGGGTGAAATAGTGGCTCATTTTGAGACTCACCCGGACTCCCGGCAGCCTGTGGTCTTCGATATACATGCTGTCGTTGGATGCTATGGATACTAATGATATATGCCAAGAAATGATGGGCCAATCGGTGCCATGAATGACTCGAATGCACCAAAACCTTTAGTCTGCTACGTGGAGAAGACTGCTCGGATGAGCAATTTGACTAAATAGAATAGATGTCTGTTGTTTAGGAGGTATGAGTCATCTTATTAGTTTCTCGAGGTAAATATGAGGCTATATATACAATTGGAGCCAAGTTGATTGTAAATCAAATTGATTGTCTGTATAGACATCTCGGAGCTAATTCCGATGGTGCGGCTTGCTTTCTGATTTGCACCGGCCTCATATCACAACAAGCCACATTGCAACCCTGTTTATCAACCAGCCCAACCACAGAATTAGTCATGTTCATTCGAGTTTTCGTATCTACCTCAGAATATCATAGTAAGTATATCGGACCTATCTAAAAGAGGTAAGGCTGATACAGGCTATGATACAGCGTTGTATTTAGTGATCTGTACAGCCTCATCTCACAATACAGTCCCTTGTTCTCCCGCCTGATCTTACTGTACCGATCTTCATTTCTTACGCTTCTTGAAATTTTGTGGATTGACAGATGGCTTCAGCACAAGAGCTATAGAATTCCTGCTGTGCTCGACTGTGACATTGTAATCATCTGAAGTTATAAACATCCCCTGTGTCAAGCTAAAGACAGGGAATGGAGCTAAGTGGGCTGGCATTGTAGGATCGCAGCTCTGCACGGATTCTTTTTCACCAGGCCCCTTAATATACAATCATTCTTTTGTGGACTCATTTCTTGGGTTATCCGCACGCCGATTTTGGCCCAGTCTGCACAGTCATAAATTTTTTTTCACTTTCGTGGTGGGCTTTGCCCACGCTTGTAGGTCTCAGTCGGAGTACGTCGCCCGGTAGCCAGACCCATAGCTTTCGTGATATAAGTGGCATTTTATGAGTAGGTACAGGGTATCAGGAACTCCCTCGGCAGGCCCTAGTAACCCTCCGCTCCCGAACTCTTCCTCCGGAATATTTGTAGGGTCTATTGTCCTGTAGGCAGATCAAAATAATATTGCAAGTACAAAAGAGGTCACGTTTTGCAACTGGTAGATCCATACAGGATGAATAAGCCACTCCAAATTAGTAGAGCTAATGGTCGCCATTTCGATCGGCCACGGATTTGTTATGTTTTTTGACTTCCTTCGATTCGGATTTAGGATCCAATTCGCCACTTTCGGTGTTGGGTCCTTCCCGGTATATTTTGAGGCTGTCGTATTTATGGCTTTCTCCTTTCGCTTTGGGGGTTGCAGGAGCCGACTTTGGGATTTCTAAAACAGACACGTCGTCAGTTTTACTATTCTACTATACAGGTATATCCAGAGTGACGTCACACCCACTTTGTTTGTAGTCTGCGTTCTTTCTACTCACGTAAATGTATACTTGAGAAGGCTTTTGCCTTCTCATCTTCGGGGTATAACAGGAACCCTTATCTGCGGATAGCGTAACCTTGTTTCGAGCTAACGCCATGATGCGTACATGTTAAAGTTGATGATGGAACATGCCTGCGTACGTTTCTTAATAGCAACTCGTCGAATATTCTGTATCATAGAAATATTGAATAAATATTGAAGAGCCAGCTTCTGAAAATGCACGGGCACTACCCATTAAAAGATATTGTCAGGATGGGGAAAGCTCGTTGCTTATTGCCCCCACCATGTAGCTAGCTAACCATGTTTTCGGGCCCTTGACAATCTGGATAGCGACTCATACTCCAAGAAGAAGTTGCCATCAATGGAACACAATCTTAAGGTTTCGATTTACGCCACGTGATCCTGACGCTATTGCCCCCATTTTCAACGAAATGAGTCACAGGCGGTGGCATGACATCATGCCGGGCAAAGTATTAGGTGAGAAAGCACCTTTCTATAAACAAAGCAATGTCCCACCCGTAAGTAATCTCTTCCCTACAACCCTTTCTGCAATATGCCAGGCGAAAATGAAGCGCACACAGATTTTAAAGTAAGCTTTCTGACAAATTTGTGAGTTACAGGCTTCAGTTAATTATCGAAGCCACCCTTCGACAGAAACGCCCTGGTAGTTCGGCGCTACGGCGTTGTTCCTCTTCGAGAGAAGCTATTTTCCGAAGGATCAAAGGTTGAGTTCGGAGTCTAAACAGCTTTCTTGAGTTGGAAGGCTAATATTTCGCAGCACCGTACCTACTTTGACTCTGCCGAATTTGTTCTAAAATCTGCACATAACCCATCCGAGATCTCCGAAAAGAACACTGGTACCGAGCGCCCGCAACACGCTAGCATCCCTCAGCCATTTTGCGCCGTGCCTGGCACCAGTAATGTTTGTAAGACGGCGAATAATGGATTTCAGAATACCAGTCACGAATATCAGAATTACCAGAGTCCTCTCCATGAAAACTAGGAGGCCGACTGCAAAAAGACAAATTAGGGTTGGCTGTAAAATGGTAACTGATTTAACATCTGAGAAATAAGATCTAAATCCCAACTCGAGCGAGATACCATAGGAATGGAAATGTTGAGATACGAACGTCAAAAGATCTTTCGTAGAGAGACAAACTGTAGATGTAAAATCATAATAACAAAATAAAAGAGTAATCAGTACCCAAGGCCCAAATCCACGTCCGTGCCGAGAGTATCACTGGCGATCTCTTCATAATCCTTTTCCAGAGCAGCCAAGTCCTCGCGAGCCTCGGAGAACTCTCCTTCCTCCATGCCCTCACCTACGTACCAGTGGACAAAAGCACGTTTGGAAAACATGAGGTCAAATTTGTAGTCAAGGCGATGCCATGCCGCGGCGATGGCGGTGGAGTTGGAGAGCATGGTAACCGAGCGGTCGACAGAAGCAAGCTCGCTCTCAGGGACGTTCATGGGTTTTTGGTTGTTAATTCCCAGTTTGAAACCGGTTGGACACCACTCAACCAAGTTGAAAGAGGCCTTGGCCTTAATGTGAGCCATAGCTTGGGTACAATCGTGAGGCACGACATCACCTCGGTACAGAAGGGCAACAGCCATGTACTTGCCATTCTGTGGATCGCAAACAACCATCTGGTTTTTAGATTCAAAGCCTGTCAAGTAATTAATACGAAGCATAGTTGAATTAAATGGAGAGGAGGCACATACACTGTAAGGTCAAGTCTTTGACCTTGAAGCTCTCGTGGCCACTGTGGGTGCTAGATATGACAGGAGCATACGAAATGAGGGGGTAGTGAATTCGCGGAAACGGCACAAGATTTGTCTGAAACTCATTTAAGTCGATATTCAAGGCACCATCGAAGCGCAAGCTGGAAGTAACAGAGCTAACGACTTGGGCCACAAGGCGGTTGAGATGGTCATACCCAGGGCGAGGAATGTCGAGGTTGCGCTTACAGATATCGTACACAGCTTCATTGTCAACGAGGAATGTGCAATCGGAGTTCTCAATAGTATCGTGTGCGGAGAGGACGGCATTGTAGGGTTCCACCACTGCAGTTGCCACACGCGGGGACGGGTAAACCACAAATTCTAGTTTGGTTTTCTTGGAATATTCGGCAGAAAGGTGCTCGAGCAAGAGTGCACCGAGACCAGAACCTGTTCCGCCGCCAAAGGAATGGAAGAGCAAAAATCCCTGAAGAGAGGTGCAATTATCTGGAAGGAAATTAGTCTACATATCAAAGCCACGAGAGGAAGGATTCCCATATACACACCAGCCACGCGGCGAATCCGGTTTACAACGCCCTCCATGAGCAGTTTGCCAACAGTATAATGACCTCGAGCATCTAATATACATTAGCTTTTTTTGGTATGCGTCTTCAAGATCTCGGGGGGTTGTACAATTATTAGCCGCATCCTCTTTTCCGCTTATCAGCTGATCAGGGTGGAACAGATGGCGGTAGGTACCAGTGCGTATCTCGTCAATGGGCTATAGCGCCGCAATTTCATCAGTCTGAATTTCATTTAAACTTGGTTGCCACTCTTTACGCACCGAAGGGTCAAGGTCGATAAAGATGGAGCGTGGGACGTATTTGCCATTGCCAGTCTCGGTGAAGAATGTCTCATACGAGCCGCTCTGGTCAAGTTCTTGGACATAATCAGGATTGATATGACCATCAGCCAGAAGATTATGCTCGAGCAGATAACTATATCATCAATCAATAGTGAGTCATTGCAGAATGAATTGCAAGAGAATCAAGACTTACAGCTCCCAGGCAGCATTGCCCAGTTGGGTACCAGCCTGGCCTATGTGAAGATGGCAGATCTAATGAGTCAGTATATGGGTTTCCATTATTTCCTGTAGGGGTTTGTGTGGCCTTAGATACAATAATGGTATTGAGAGCCACACCGGAATTTTGGGCTGTCCGTATTTTGCGGTTCAAGGCTGGAAAAGAAACAGAAGAGGGCAACACCATTTACATGGAGAACCCTGAGCAGCAATAGGTTGGCACGTACTTCGCCGCGCATTCTGTATGGTCAAAATCCAAAAGGCTGTCGCGTACAGGCAGGCAGATGTGAAATGAAAGGGAGTCGACTTTTTGGGAAACTGAAGTCCAAAATAGGTTAAAGTAGGTCCAATTTGTTATGTTTCTCTCTCCCTTTCAGGTTTAGCGCTAAGGCGTAGTCAGCTGGTGTTGGAGCACGTGTATTTATGGTATTGTACTGTCATCCTGATACGGACTACTCATGCATTAATCTCATATCAGCACTTGCTAAAAGCGTATGGACTAGTATGCATTCAGGACGAATGAGATCAAGCGGAACCAATTCAGGATAAAATGATTGATTGATTGAATCGAAATAAGCATGCGATCGAGGGCAGGTTGAAATACCCCCCCGTATGTGCGTATACTCGGTGGTTATTACACCGAGGTTGCTAGTTGAACCAATTTACCATACAAAACACAAAGAAATGTGGGTTCCTGGGTAATCAATCGCTTGCTAGTGGTAAAATACCACTCGATGCGCTGACACACCCCCTCAGCGAAATCCCTGCGGGGGATTCGCTGTACTACCCTTTCTTCTCATATATTCTAGCCATCGACTAGACCTTCCAGAAGGCTTCCAATATCTTCCATTCCCAGTAGTCGAACGAATTCGACGTGCTTTTGCCGAGGCAGCAGTTTGGTAAGGCCGTCAGCCACCATATCGGACGTCTTGGCCCATTGCACTGGTATGCGGCCTGATTGGACCTCCTGACGCAACCAGTGCCGGTGGATGTCAATATGTCGCAGTTTGGTACGTAATTGAGATGATTCCTTTGTTAAAAGGCTGATAGTCTGCTGGTTATCGCATTGGAGGACGACAGGGTGACCTGAAGAGAACATAATTGTGTCAAACAGTCGAGTCCACATGCATAAGGACTTGCCTGCTTCGGATATTGCCAGTAGCTCGGCTTCGGTGGTGCTAGTAGTCACTGTTTTCTGTTTGGTAGCTCTCCAATCCACTGGACCTCCGAATATCATGCAGATATATCCCGAAGAGCTCCTTCGATCGTGGTTATCCCCATATGACGCATCGCTAAAGAACTGAACAGCTTGCGGAATTGATTCGGCGGGTGCGGATGAGAGCCTTAGGTAACAGATTGCTCTCATTCGAATATCATAAAGATAGATGGTCATCTGGTTGATCGCGTTGATGTGTTCGGAAGAAGGATTCGACAGGAATTGAGCCAGATGAGATGTCGCTTTTGCTGCGTCCGGCCGGGTAATCGTCGTTGCATATTGAGCTAATACGACCTTCGCAGAGAATTCATGCTTCTGCTCATCAGTAGCCGTTCCAGTATACGGCTTCAGGTTAGCAATGGAGACTGGAGGGATTTTGAGGCGTCTCTCCCTCGTTAAATGATACTTATTAGCCATCGTTGAGATACAGGCATCCTGACAGAGCCATAATGCTCCCTGTTGACGGTCTCGGACAATGCGGATACCAAGAAACCACTGTGATTCGCCCATTGATCGAAGCTCCCATGTCGCATTGAGCCTTCGGGCAACATCGGCAGCCTGCTGGCGTCTAGACGGATGGTTGAAGATTATGATATCGTCAACGTAGAAGAAGAAGAAGAAGAAGAAGAAGAAGAAGAAGAAGAAGAAGAAGAAGAAGAAGAAGAAGAAGAAGAAGAAGAAGAAGAAGAAGAAGAAGAAGAAGAAGAAGAAGAAGAAGAAGAAGAAGAAGATGATGATGATGATACCATCATCAACGAACAGGCAGATATCCTCTTGGACCGCATTGAAGCCCAGCGACGTTAAATCCCTTGATGCTTCTTGCTGCCAGAGCCTCGGTGGCTTCCTAAGGCCATGTAGCGCCCGTAGTAGCTTCCAACATCTCATCTTTCTTCCGGCGGGAAACAGGCCTGGTGGCATCTCAACATACACCTCTTCATCCAGGAGGCTGTTCAGAAATGCGTTGACAGCGTCAAATTGAGCTGTATCAAGGTCAAATGCGGCCGCCAGAGCGAATATAGCTCTCGCAGTGCGTACCGCAAGCGTTGCTGAGTACTTCTCCTCTGTTGACATTTTCTGGAGATCTCCTCTCACACATATTTGTGCCTTTTGTTTCACCAATAGGCCGGTACTGTCGAATTTATAGGTGAAGACCAATTTCAGCGGTAAGATCTAAATGCTTCGATCAGTTGGCCGATCCACTTCTTGATACGTTCCTTTCTTCTCCAACGTTTTCACCTCTAACGCTGCGGCTTCGATAAACGCATCTCTATGAGGGTGTCTCATCATTTCTAGCCAGTTTGAGGGTTCAGGAAGCAACTCGTCACGGTGAGGGCGCTGGTAAGCTTGCGGAGAGCTCATTCCTGCAGTGAACGCTAACAGAAGACCTTCATGATAGTCTTTCGGGTCCTGCGAGCCATCCTCCCCTTCCGTTGATGCGACAGATGCGACATACGCCCTCTTACACTTGCCGGGGATAATATTGTTGTCAGAGACTGATGAATTGATGTCTCTGGGTGCGAGAGACCCGCGACGACGGTATCCTGGTGGTGCGATTGATTCGGACAACTCTGGGGTCGCTGGAGATGATACTGTTGCTTGGAGATCGCTGTGGAGCTGTTGATCAGGCATTTCAGATTGATTCAGACCGCTCATCACCCCCTCAGCGAGTGTGTATTGAAGTTATTCCTAGTCTTCCGAAACGAAGATATCTAATTCAGCAATCCAAAAGGGACAAGTCTGCTATTCTAGAATTGACCAATCGTAGCACTTTGCCTATATCAACCGCTTTTCCCCACTACACTACGTAACATTACACAACGCAAATGTTCCAGAACTCAGTGGGATTCCATGGAAACCCTTATTGGATCTCTGCTGAAATTCAGTAGGACAGCCTGGAGTTTGTTTCCGACAAGGATTTGATGACTAGGTCAAGAATTATTCCGGAAGAAGTATCCATCCTCCGTTCCATTCGCCGGCGACCCACCACTTCCATCCGTGAGACGCAAATCTAGGTTTCGCGCTACTGAAAACTTGCTAGCGTCGACGTTTACGACCGTGATTAAGTTTGGCAATCGATTTGACGTCAGAGGCTGCGAGCTTCGAGTCTGCTTGAACCACTCATTATGACCGACTCTGCTAAGGCGGATTTGCTCTATGGCTCCGATCCTTCTTCCCACTCATCTTTGACCTTACAATAATAGTGTCTCTCGATGTTCATTTCTGTCTTCTCGATAACAAAGACAGCCTATCATGAGTAGCTCACGCGAATCCCCTAGACACATAAACCTTGGAACTGACCCGTCTACCCGCGGTACCAACTGGACCTCGTCATTGAGCTCTGATTGTCCTGTGCCTTCACAAGCGCATGCTCATCACGGTCACCCCCAATTTTTTCTTCACGCCCAAGAAACAAGCTCATCAACTTTCTCGGCTTCGGATTCAGGCCCTTACGATTCTCGGGTGGCCACGGGCAAAAAGGTCGCGATCCCTCGAGTGTCTACTCCCCATGTCTCTCGCGGACGGCGACGCTCAGCGCGAGCATGCGAAACTTGCCGACAGCGTAAAACGAAGTGTGATAGCGATCGACCGAAATGTGGACAATGTGTCTATCACCAGAGTCAGTGTATGTATGAGGACGTCAAGCGAGTACGCGACCAAAAACTACTGGAAACATTATCCCACCATGTGAAACGATATGAAAACCTGCTTCGCGAGCTGGAGGGCGAAGTCGCTACACCTATAGCGGAGAGGATCAGGAAGGAACTTAAGGTATGCTGACGTGAATATTTCTGCCTGTTAGTGAAGACGTCCGAAGGCTATCAAAAATCCTAACCTTCAGCTTTCGCCCGTTCTAGTTCAAGGATAAAAAATCCTCATCTCACAATCAAGTCGACGGCTTCGATTCTTCATCGTCGATGGGCTCCCTAGATTCAGTCGACCTGGCAGAGGAAGACCTGGATCGAAATGATATTTCTCGCGCTGCTGGTTTCTTCGGGAAAAATTCTGAGGTGTCCTGGCTGCAGAGGCTGAAGCGTGGCATGGAAATTTTCGATAACCGGGAGCCTCCCATGGTCGGCTTGCCATCCACAGACTCGCAGTCGGAGTATGACCCTAGTACCGACACTGGAATTGAACATGGAAGACTAGCAAAGAATGTACCTATCTCGATGATGAACTACCATCTGGATGACATTGAAGTACCTTTTGTCGACAACACCGACCCATTCGCAATGCCACCGCGAGAAACCGCCGATGAATATTATTCTACGTATATGACCTACATTCACCCGTCTTTCAGCGCTATCAGAAAGCCAGAATTCACATTACAGTATCGACAGTTCTTCAGCCGGCCTTCTCCGAGTACCTCCCGCACCTGGTTGGCGATTTTGAACATGATTTTTGCCATTGGATGTCGATATTACCGACTTATAAGTTCGCCCAGCGAGCTCACTCGTGAAGATGACCTGGTATTTCTAACGCGAGCGCGTCAATTGAGTCTGAATGAGAACCTTCTATTTGAACACGCCGGTATTGAGCAAGTTCAGCTTGAATCAATGGTGGCGGTTTATTTAATTTGCCTAGGGCAGGTCAACAGGTACCTCTAGGACGGGCGTTTTTGCAACATGTCGATAATACTAATAACGTATCAGAGCATCCAAATTCTCGACCATTGCCTTACGCTCCGCTATATCACTCGGAATCAACCTCCGCCTCGAGGATGACGGAAATCGTGACCCATCGAAAGAAGCCCGCCGCCTCCTGTGGTGGTCCATTTATTGTCTAGAGCATCTACTCACTTCGATGACGGGCCGCGCCTCTGTTGTAGGAGAGAGCCTGTTCTCTCATACACTCCCTGTCCCTGTCGAAATAGGATCGCCCCTCGACCAGGCCGGTACCCAGCGCCTTCTCCAAGATCTCCCGTTCCTTGATGCCCAACTCTGCCCAACCCTCTTCGAGTCTCTGACCCAGTTTCAAAGTGGGCCCAATTGGGCGACCAAATGCGAACCGTGTTCGTCTTTGTTCTTTTACTATCTTGTCGACCTCACCATCATAACTCAGTCCGTCTTGAACAAAGTCTACAGTATAGAGGGTGTCCGAGCAGGACCGAGTCAATTAGAGTATCGGCTTCAGAAGTACAGTGTACGCATAGACCGCTGGCTCTCCAAACTACACCCTGAATATCAATTCACTGTTCCCTGTGCAAGCCCCTGGCACGTCAACCACGCCCAACTTGACTACGAATCTCTCCCCTTTATCCGAGAGCGTGTCTGTCTCGCGATGAACTATTATTCTGCTCGCATCACCCTTTGCAAACCTTGTCTCATCCAGACACGTACTCCACCCAGAACAGGATCGGAACACCCTCCTTGGCAGAAATCGAATCCTAGCGCTAAATTCAAAGCAGATACGGCAACAACCTGCCTCCAAGCTGCATGCTCCCTCATCTCGGTTCTTCCTGTTGAACCCAACTTAGCATGGCTGGCGCGCGTAGCGCCGTGGTGGGGCGTGTTACATTTCTTGATGCAGGCCACATCAGTCTTACTACTTGTTCTGTCAAATTGTTCTTTTTCTTCTCCATTTCAGGACAAACGTAACTCTCACCATCCACCGGGTACATATAACTATTCGTCCAACGCGAACTACCCGCCTTTACTGGAGCCCGATCTCAGAACCGTAGTCGCACAAACCAAAAAGGCATTCTTCTGGATCCATGCCATGGCAACTATCGATCCGGCGTCTGAGACGTGCGTTCCTGCTATGCGATGATATTGTCAGGAAGATTGCGCCTGGATTGCAGGTTGATCTTCAGGATTGGCCCAGTGCGGACTCGTTGTTTGGTGGATCTGGAGACACGGAGATCGGGACCTCGCTGGATGGATTTTGGGACCTCATCGATTTTGACGCTGGCAGTTTCCTATAAGAATTTAGAAGTGATGTATCCAAAGAGAGCTGAAATGTCTTTTTCCCTGTAAATATGAAATATTGGACGATTCCTCTAGTCGACCACGATAGGCTTAATGTTAGGACAATCCCCGGAGGGCGTCCTGATACGATAAGGATACGAGTGAAGAATGTGAGATATGCCTGATATGGGTATGATGATATTCAGACTAATCGCTGGTCCTCCTAAGAGGATCCAGCTCCTCCTTTTAAGGGGATGCCTGTGTGCGTATGCAAGCAGGTAAGCGAGGTGATGTATCAACAAGCGGCTCCGGTGGTGGATAGGCACCTCCTCCGCATCTCCTATACCTCATTGTATGGTTGGCGTAACATCTATTAGAACAAGCCAGCGTCTGATAGATCACATTTCTGTGTATGTAACCTTGCGCTAAGCTGCGGTTCCGGCTTATGGGATTCAGGAGTACTTCGAACCTGAACCGGAACACACATCTATCATACACGAATCAACCAACCTTTGCTTTAGGAGCATAAACTGTTCACTTAACTGTGTACACGGGACCTAGCTGGTGATACCAAAAACTCCAATCTGCCTTCTGATGCTCGATCCCGCAGTAAACTACCGCCTTGCATTGGCCACATCTCTTCATTCCCTCCGTCTTACCACACATTTTGCAGGCATTCGCTTCCAGGCGCATTTCATCTGAAATTTGCCGTCTCAGGCTTCCCATGATCCTGTCCATACCATTTCTTGTCTGTGCTTCGCATTCTGCTTTAGAGCAGACAGAATGGACCCATACCGAAAGAAGTGGATGGCCTATATCTTGAATAATAGATATAGGCGTTTGCAAGATCTGCTCAGTGGTCGAACTGCAAATCCCACACTGAGGACTCAATGCCGCCTGACAAGCAACTTCATGCCTTTTGAGGATCGGCCATACTGTACGTTGAAGCAGAACTGCATATTCGGAGTCTCTCGGAATGACCGTAGAATCGACCGGAACAAGATTACGAGGAAGATTGTGAGTGTATGAGAGATTATTAAATGTATTTTCACAATTAAATTCAATCCGAATTGGACACAGAGACATGGTTAGATGATAAATCTTCGAATCAAATCTTCAGTTTGTTTTTTTATTCGAAATCGTTCCCCGCTTTGCGACAGTTATCATCACATGCTATAAATATAAACTTTGTAATTATGTTCCCTGCAGGTCTGTGTCCAATTAAAATGACTGCAAACTCTTGACATATGTCCTTTTCTCACCGCTTTTGATAGTATCACTTCCTTACTCATATCTTACAAAAAACTAGTTATCTCCCCTTCCTTCACTTTTTCGTTTCAGGGCATCAGCGTGCGAAGCGCGCGTCACCAGTCCCGCTGCCAACCTCTTCGCTGGTCTCGGCGCTAATTCGTCCGTTGTCTTGCCAAGAACTGCTCTTATTTGCTATTTCATTCTCGCGCTTTCGCTTTCCTTTGGCGTTGCCTCACGTGATGAATGATGAATCCTCGCTCATCCAGTCAATTCTTACTTACACCGCAGAAACGTGACTTGACTTGCATAAACGAACACGCTTTTGGCCTTCCTGCAACTTATCAATCCGTACGTTCGACTTTCGTGTTTTTATCTTCTTCTTAGCTCTATCACGCTTTTTCTTTTTTCGTTTCAGGGCCACAGCGTGCGCAGCGCGCGTCTTCCAGTTTTATTGGGATCTACACCAACATTACTGAGGGCTTCTTCCCCTCCTACAACTGCCCTGCGAGAGTTGGCTGCTTGTCTCTGTAGCTATCTCGTCATCTCTCACGCAGTCAAGACTCGATTTGTCCCTCCCGCCTTCCCTCTGTACATTGAAATCAGAATAATATTGAGCTAGCGAATGTCCTGTACATGCATTGTACCTAATATTGCATTGTCGGACTTTCATCAAACACCATCGACAAAGCCATCGCCTCCGGCCTCTGTATCCACCTTCATTGATTCTGTGAGGCCACAGACTTCAAATAACTTGCGAGGACCAAGCCCCTCAGGAGTTCCAACGACACCTTCGTTCTTTAGGTGCTCTAGAGCGGAGCGAATACCCAGATAAGCCGGGGCCAGTGACGCAAATGAGAAAATCATGATCCGGAATCCCATTTCCTCAGCCTCCTTGGTGGTTATGATTGGACTTGCGCCGTTCTCCACCATGTTCAGGAGAAGGGGCCAGGGGGCCATATCCTGAACTGCCTGGCGGGCTTGCTCCTTCGAGGTGAATCCCTCCAGAAGACCAACGTCGGCCCCAATATCCCTGGCTGTCTTCAAACGACGAATGCAGTCCTCGTAGCCATGCTGCTGGAGAGCATCGGTTCGTGCAATGAGAACAATGTCCGAGTGTAGCCGGTCCTTCGTCAGCTTAGCGGCTCGGATGCGCGTCATGTACTCGTCGAGACTGACCACCTTCTTGCCAGCAAGGTGGCCACAGCGCTTATTCTGGACCTGGTCCTCGATGTGGAAGCCAGCTACACCTGCCTGAATATACTGTTGGACGGATTTGGAAACCATGAGAGGCCCTGTCCGTAAGAGTCAGCTCCTACTTCATCGTCGAGGGTTTTACAGTCTGCAAGCTCACCTCCGTAGCCATGATCCATATCGGCAATCAGCGGGGGCCCGAATGGATCAAGGTTGGCAATCATCTCAGCGTTGGTACGCATGTCGTGGAGTTGGGCTAAACCGAGATCTGCCATCCCTAGTCTGGAAGCTGTTGTCCCTGCGCCTGTCTGCGTTCTTGATGAGCGAATATCCAGCTGAATAAGGGGTTTTGATCCGTACCATGTAGAGACCTTTGAAGCCGAGTTCTATGGCAATGCGAGCAGACAGACCATCGTAGACTCCCGGGCATACGATTAAGTCATTTGTGTCTCTGAGCACGCGACGCAGCTTGGAGGCCGCGGGAATAACATAGAGAGAGACGGTAGGCTCACGATGCATCCCATTTACCTCATAGTAGCCATTACTTTCAACAGTAATAGTAGTAGTCATGGCTGTTTGTTTGTAGGTGAAAGGGGAAGACAGATAATTTATGGTTGTGGCTGAGCTTTGTGACACATCCTCAGACTAAAGAGCGAAGCGAAGGAATTTATATCTCACGATCTACTATATCCTTTATATTATCCGGTGCCAGATAGTAAAGACAGATGGGGTCAACACCAAGAGTACTCAATCGTGGCGGACAAGTTTCAGATAAGAGGTGAGGATTCTTGGTGTCTTGGAATTGCAACCTCTCGCTATATGCCAAGTCTCGACAAGAACAGGTGATTCAACACCCACACACTCTATTTGGTACTACATATATTTTAATTCAGATACTCGTGCCGTAACATGCCAACACTAGCTCCTGAGGCTATGACGCGCTCTCAACAGCGATCTCCTGGATATTTTTCAATAAATTATGTCAATTGGTACTCTCATTATTAACGAATACGGAAGTCCTATGATCGGACCTATCTTTATCTGGGTTCGTACTGATCCGAGCTCAAAAGTCCGAATGACCGCGGCTATCCTTTCCCTTCTCTGTCAGCAAGGCATACGGATGATCTGCGATAAGCCCATCATGTCATAATAGGCACACTATCTAGTCACATGAGTCGTGGGGTTGCAGAAATTGATAGCTCATGTAACAATCGCTTGCTGCGATAATTTTATAGACCGATCATTCAGTACAGTATAACCCTCGGAGTCCTGAGCTAATCAGGTATAAGGGTCTCATCCCAAGATCGCCTAGGAGTATGACTGCACATTATGTGTGCGTGTGTGCCACTCTCACTTGCATATGCGGGATCATTCATTGGTCTGAAAAAGAAATATGGAAGAAACTCGAACTGCTTCGCCGAAGACCGTCTCTTCAAACTCCGTGCACCAAGCCCCTCCGCAATCTATCCTACGGGAGATCAACAGCCCAGAAAAAGCGTGGAGCGCGAATAGCCTGGCCATAATACTAAAGTCATTCAAGCATATAACCACTGCTTAGAAGAAACACTGGAGCAAGTAGTAGGCGGTATTCATCCAGTATGATGTTATATTAGTCCCTAGAAAGCATAGCCACACGCGGCCTCCTGTTAGTGGATCTCAGGGCAAGTAGCCACGCTGCCAAGGATCTCGCCACGGAGACCGTTACACTCGGGTTCAGCTTGGCATTCTCAGTGTAGATCACGGCCTCGAAAATCATTTCGCAAATTGGATCACCAAGAAGTCCGAGGAGAGGCAATATGTAACAGTGGCTGCCCTTGTCTTGCAGAATCCAGGGCTCGAGTTTGCTTAGCGCTACCCTCTGCAAAACTTCCCCTCCTTTTGGGTACTGGAGGTCGTCGTCTCGGTAAAAAGGAACCCTCCAAGAGCTATGCCGCTAATTGACCGCTGGGATCACTGAATGGACCACGGAAAATATCGCTGAGAGGATTGTCGTCTTTCAAAAGCGGCTTCCGATCATTTCTCCCGTTTTCTCCCCACACGTTTCTTCCATGTAACTGTCAGAATTCCTAATGGATCAAGAAAAGAGAACGTTTGCCGAACTAATAGCCTTCTTGGGTGACGAAGTCCAAACTCAACATGCGGACGTACTACTGTTTACATGCTGCTTGGCCTCCGGGTTAATTGACAGCACAATATACAATGGTGCGACTCATTTGTGACTACCTCGATCTCAAACTAACTTTTGCAGCCTACAACACCTTTGTATCAATGCAGACTGGTAAGATATAATGCCGGAATTGCAAATAAAACATCCAGATTTGAGAATTGATGGATTGATGGATTGTGGTGCGTTTTAGGGAATACTATATTTGTCGGCCTAGGCGCATCAAACCAAAACTTGCGTCCATACGGCTGGGCTCGGTCATTAACATCTATCGGCTGTTTTGCCGTGGGATGTTTTCTGTTCGCACGACTGAATCACGTTGTCGGCGCACGGCGACGTGGGTGCTTGATGCTCTCCTTCCTCATCCAAGCGAGCACCATCCTTATCACCGCTGGTCTCATCCAAGTTGGCGTCATTTCAACTGATTTGGAAAGTCAGTCACAAGAAAAGACGCAATGGATCCAAGAGGTTCCAATCATTCTTCTCAGTCTTCAGTCGTCCGGTCAGATCGTCGCAAGTCGAGCTCTGGGTTTCAATGAAATCCCGACTGTGGTGATCACGAGCCTTCTGTGTGATCTGATGTCGGACCCGAAGCTCTTTCTGTTACGAAATGGAAAGCGTGATCGACGTATTGTGGCATTCGTTCTGACTCTGATAGGTGCCATTGTCGGTGGTTGGATCACCAAGGCCACGGGGCAAATTGTGCCGGTTCTCTGGCTGTCAGCGGGAATCAAGATGTTAATTGTCATTGCATGGGGATTCTGGCAGACAGGTCAATAGATAAAGAGCGGATGGTCTCTCTGTTTCCTGATCTAGTTGTAATATAAAGTTCAGAAGGTTAAATTTGAGGGTGCAGTAACAGGGGAATGCTCGTTATGCCTACATAGCTACTCACAGTAAGAGACTAAATAGTCGCTCAGTTCAAACGTGGAGATCGACCAAATTTGGCCTCCGAGTATCTGCGAGCATATAAACAAACATGCTGCTTCTTGATCTTGAAGTTCACACGAGTTCTTCCCAAGGCGATGGGCAGTCGCAGTCGTAGTGCCGGGCGAAGGGCGTAATACGGCATGAAGGAGGGTTCCATACTCGACGGTAGGCTTATCGGTATCGACTAGTACTTGTGAGGGTGAGGGCTAATTGAATCATACCAGCAATTGGTTGATTGAAGAAACTATCCGTATGTCTCCCTTTCAAACCTGCGAATATTAGTACTGGCTAGCTCTAATTTTACTCGAATCCCTGAAATCGTGCAGCTTAAGCTTCTGGCTATTTTCCATCCCCATTTCCCCGTTTTTCATTATATTATGTCTCAATATACCGATGCTTCCCGTATCCTTGCTCGCCTCGGTGTCTTTTCTCTCACCACAATTTGGCTGCTCGTCGCTGCGTTCAATTCCGACAGTGCTCTCTTTGCAGATAATTTGCGAGACCAAGCAACAGCTGGCCTCATTGAATCCGACAACCCCATCTGTACAGCACATTCCGAAAGCTCATGAGTGATTTTCGCAAGGCAATGATCATTGTTGCACTCTCCCTGGCCCTGTTTTCCCTGTTTGGCGCTACACTTTTCGCTTACCCAAGGTGGATACAAGAAGGGAGAAGTGCCCTTGATAACTTCTTTTTCGCCCAATTCCTCTTTGGAGTGGGTGTGTTGGCTTTGGGTGGGTATATTATGGACAAGATGCATGAATTTCTTGAATTATTTGCAGCATTCGACGACCGAAGCGTCTTCCCTTGTTGCAGCATTATATACCATGGAGCTATTGGACAGATTGTACTTGGTGGCCTTATGATTTTGACCAGCCTCATCAGCCTCGGATATCCTTTTCGTGTCAGTTAGCAGGCAATATTGTGGAGACTATGCAGGCAGAACGCAGACGAGAGGCAGGCAAGAAATAGGTCCTCGGATATCAATTCACTTTTCTGCCTTTGTGATGACATAGGGACTCAGAAATACAGAAGTATTTGATAAATAGAGAGCCGAAACCAGCCACATAAGAGAGAAGCAATGTAATTTTGTTTCATTGACGCACCAAATATGGAGTTCTACTAACAAGGTTCTCAAGAATAGAGTGCGTCAATTAATTTCCTCGTGGCGGTCCTTTTTGGCACTAGATGACTTCAGCTTTAGTATTAGGATTCAAAGATCCATTTGGTAAGGTGAATAGCTCAACAATAGTATATGTAAGATTAAGCTTGCGCCAAAAACTCGTTACATTTCCGATTCTGCATCTCCAGTTCAACTCACAGGTCTATCTGAAATTTCCGCGGAGATTATGGACGAAAAACCCTGGATCGAGGCAGGGCAATGTAGGCAGAGTGGAGTGCGGCGACATCATGAAGCGCTGAGTGTAAGGAAGGGGCTCCAAGCGGGGCCGCATGGACAGTCGGAAGCGTGCAGTCTGTGCTGCAGAGCATACTTGGGAGATAATGTTGAGAACCTGCTCGCGCACCCGAGACAGATTCCCCATCGCTGTCTCGATTCGTGGCAAGAAAAAGAGATGCTCCCCGATCAACTCATCAAAGAGGCAGTCAAATCTTGAAAGACGGAATTCCGCCCAATAGACTTCCTCTGATAGCAAGAAGAAGGAAAGGTACACAAAAATATCCTCCGCCTGGGTAGACGGAGAAAGAGGATTCGGACCTGTCCACGGAAAGCTTTGTTGGCTTTCATAATTCGGATAGAAAACACAGTCGACCAAAGATAGGCCGTAAACTTCAGGGCTGAAGACATCTGATAAGTTTCTAGAAGCCTGCCTCGCATGGCTGCGGTCGGTAGCAAGGCAGGGGGGTACAGCGGGTACGTTAGAGGACTCCTGCCAGGCTGCGTGGATGTCGATATCGGAGATAAAGTCTGTCTGGCGGTAAGTATGCGTTTATGGGAGATGTGAAATGGACTTTACCAACCAATTTGAGCCAAATGATTCATTTCCTCAGACGTCGGTAGTTCAAGGAGTTGGAGAGAACAGAACTGGATCATTGGTATTAGATCGACGAACTTGTGGGCTGGAAATGGAGCGAGCAATAGGCTAATTAAATCTTCTTATCAGAGCCAGAAATCATAATAATCAAAGGTCGATTGATCCTTCAAGCGGTCTTATTTGAGCAAAGTATGGATAGTCACAAGCTCAACGGGAATTAACTCTCGGCTGCATCGACGTCTCAACGGTCAACCCCGTTGATCGTAAGGGAAGATCATCCGGCACCCTCGCCTTGATACATGTTCACCAATGTTTGTTGATTCCTCAAGAATAGTCCATCTGGTCAGAATTACGGTCACACGTCCGTAACAATGAGATGATTCCAGCCTGGACAGCATGGGCTGCGCGCTCACGGTCCCAGAGTACCAGGGCCTGCTCATTACAACGCTGCTGTAGAAGACCATTTCCGGCTTTAATTTCATCATTTGACAGCCAAAGTTGACGTTGCTCGTGTTCCAGTCGAATTTTCTCGGCAGATTTGACAACATAACATTGCCAGAGACACAGGAACAGGTCGAGTAGGTCGAGAGCTGGTCTCGAGATGGAAGAGCCCATCCGCAGAATCTGCTTGGCCTCGGTTGTCAAAAGGCTGGCAGCGCCGGTGGTGTTCTATTACATGTTAGTTAGGCTCTCATTTCACTACTGGGAAGATCCTAACCTTGAACTCGATACTTTCGCGCTCCGAAGGTTCTCGGAATAGGCCGTGCAGGTTGGCAGTAGTGTCATCCCCAGAGTGTTTGGGGAGCTGCCGCTGTCTTTTAATTGGTCGCTCGGCCGATGAAGAACGATCTGGTGCGTCCATTTTCTTTACGAAGTGAGCTGCATAGGCTGGATGAGGAATATCGGCAGAAGCTTCTTAGTTATATAATGAGGGAGAGCATGTGAAACACGGCAAATTTCGGAGACCCGCGAGTATTAACTTCTCCGCACGCAGAACGGCGCAACGTCTCGACGCATGTATAGATTAAAGCCTATTTGACATATCACATAGATGAGGATCATTAACAAGGTCGCTCATGAATTGATGCGGAGAGAAAAATTTCGGGGCAGCATTTATCCCTGATTACTGTCGAGCTATCAACGACACGCTCTATGAAGGTTGGCATTATTCTCAATCCATCAAGTTCCTGGCCTTCCACCATCCCATTCCACACGTCATCACTGATCCACACCTCTGCTGGCTTTTCAATGCATTTTGTATCGCCCTGCTGTACAATTATTTTGCTGATGTCTGAGAAATCGACTGATTCTCCTTTTCAGTGATGAGGGTGTACTTGCACCGCGACGGCTGCGGAGATCGTTGACCCGGTTCTGGTTTGCCTCCCGAATTGGACCCTCCTTGGCAAAATGAAGCGATGCCCCCCAACTGTTACGCTTCATTCTCCGGTCCTGCAGCAGCATGTCAACTACCACCAGATGTCCCCCTTTTACTGCAAGCAACAAGGATCCTCGAACCAACGATTCTGATAGTTGGGATCAACTGAGGGATGGCGTAGTAAAACTCGCACCATCTCCGAGTCGCCTGCCCGGGCGGCGATACACAGGGCGGTGTCTTGGACGGTAACAGTGCTCTGGTTAATTGCAAGAGCCTCGCCCTGCCGGACCAAGAGCTTTACCGCTTCCAAGCGGCCGTTTTCCACCGCTCGACAGAGGGGCGGATCTGCCAACTCGGTCGCATTGATCTCTAAGCCTCCCTTGCCCAAGAGCATCGCCATCGCATGAGTGTTGCCTTTCGCGGCCGCCGTGGAAAAAGGAGTGACGCCTGCCACACAGAGATTGGGGTCAATGCCAGGTATCTCGGGAAGCCACCGCAGAGCGACAGTGTCACTCCTTGCGACCGCGTGGTGCAGCGAAGTGGAAAGCGTTTGGGTCTGACCACGACCACCCACAAAGTTGATATCAATGCCTCCCGTCTCTAATAGCCTCTCGGTCATGTCGCTATGCGATAAGAATGTCGACAACCAGAGCGGAGTGTTGCCGTCTTTGTCTCGACAATTGATACTGGCACACGGGTGGCTCAACAGCACTTCCACCACTGCCAGACGCCGACACCGAACAGCGAGGTGGAGTGGAGTATCCCCGTTGTGATCCTGAACATCCAGGGCCAGCTCCTTCTGCGTCAGAAGTAGCTTGACAGCGTCTGCGGATCCGTGGGCTACTGCTTGGTGGAGCGGCGGCTCACTTTTATCAGTGGTTTGATAACCGGCGGATGGCCTGTAGAAAGAGAGCGAGTGCCCAGCTCCCTCTGGGCCTACAAAAATCGACTTCATGGACGGCCGGCCGATGCGCCATGCCCATGCGCGGGGTGACTTGCCAAAGTCATCTGTAGTGAGAGGATCGCTGCCGCTGGAGAGGAGCAGACGCGCCAGGCCCGTTTTGCCCCACCAGACCGCGAGATGGAGTGCCGTTCGTCCTCGCCTGTGCGGGAGGTCAACTTGTAACTTTGGGACCTGCAGCAAGCTCTGTACCACAGAACAAGTTCCGTATGTGACAGCATACCATAGCGCGTTTTCTTGCGCCTGGTTTTGAAGGTTGATATCCAGCGTGGGGCTTTCCAGCAGGACCTGCAATACGTCATAGGATGAGTACTTGAGAGCCCTCATCACCGGGGTCTTCCCTCGAAAGAACGCGTTGACGTCTGCCTGCGATATAGGAGACTCTCGGCGAGGTCAATATCGTTGCTCATGGCAGCGAGGCCGAGCAAATTGCTGTTTTGGCATTCGACGTTGATTGCAAGTATGGCCGGCTGTAGCCTGGTTTGGAGATTTCGACATGATCTCGCAAGAGCAAATATCT